GTTAGTATATTATTACAATAATACATGGCATAGAACTATAAACATGAAACCAGTGGAAATGAAAAATGATATTTCAAAAGAATGGGAATATATTAGAAAGCAAATGGAAAGGTTAAATGATGTTAAACGTGAACAAATTAATTCGGGGCTCATGAATTTTAAACAAGGGAATAAAGTTTTAATTCATCTCGATTATGGAAAAACTGATAAATCAATGACAAAAAGAAGACGAAGATTTGACACAATAGCTGAATTTGTTAGATATATTAACGGCAATGCATTAGTTGAAGTTGACAATAAATTAATAGAAATTCCGATTTATTTTATTACTCCATTATATTTAAATAATATTTAATTTTTTTATTTCGTAAGAAAATGAGTGACAACAAAGCAGTCAAGAGTCCAGACAATGAATATAAAAAGAAACTAAACAGAATTAAATCAAAAATATGCTATTACAAAAAGAAGTCGCAATGTGGTGGGGTTGAAAATGATAAAGAAATAATCGAAAAATTAGAAACTTACCGTTCAATCCTTAAACTGAGTGAAGCAAAAATAAAAGAATTTAATAGAATAAATAAATTGATTGGAAGAGATGAATTTAATAAAGATGAATTTTTAAACTCTATCCAAATTTAATTTTTATTCCTCTTCGACAACATCTCTCTTTCCATCATTACTGCATAACCACATTTTCTCAATTTTAGTGGTTTGTTATTTTTAACATGTTCTTGCATCATTTTTATCATTTCCTCCCTTGTTATGATTCGTGGTAAATTTTGAGCTTGTGGGGTATTCATTTATGATAAAAATAAAAATTTGTTATCACTTATTTTATCGTTAATGTTTTTAGGTTATTCAATAATTAATTATTTTTTGAATAACCGAAGGTGCTACCATGTTACCATGTGCTACCAGGTCATTTAACTTCTATGAAAAAATGTGACAACATGACATTTTGACAACAACACAGGAGGAAGGCAGTTATGACTTATTTTTGAATAACCGAAGGTGCTACCATGTTACCATGTGCTACCAGGTCATTTAACTTCTATGAAAAAATGTGACAACATGACATTTTGACAACAACATAGGAAATATGATGCAGTCCAAAAATAAAGTTAGTTTTAAAATTGTTTTTATTTTTTTATTCCTATATAAATGACAGCAACAAACAACAGCAACAACTATATCGTTTCTGATGAAAATATCATTGATTCATTAGCTGAGGAATTAGTTGTGGCAGAAACTAAAACCCTCAACGAAAGAATTGGTGAAAACAAGATTGATTTACATAACTACCTCAAACACGATGGAGGAAGAGGAAGGAAAACTGGTGTGGCTTTATTAGTAAAAAAAATTTCAAATTTAACGATATAGATGTTGATATCAATAAATCATAACAATGATGAACTTAAAGAAACAGTTAGAAAAGATATTTTTATCAAAACTTTTGGATAAAGATGTTATCGTTAAAACCGCTTCAGGAGGTCTTCACATTTATTGCAACACTAATTTCTTCTATTCAACCTCGAACAGAATGATTAAATGTTATTCCTGCAATGATTATGATATTGATATAATGACTTCAATGGATGATTCAAAGCGTTCTTTAGTAGTTATGGCTGATTCAAGAGTTCGCAAGAATGCAACAGAACCAATCAATACATACTCATTCATTCGTGGAAGTTATGATTCAACATTAACCAGAACAGTGAATGATATATTAAATGATTTGAATATTAAGGTAAGAGTTGAACAGAAGAACGAAGAAATAAAGACTATCATGAATGAAAACAAAGATGTAAACATTGACGATAAACTTGCCCAGAGCATAGTTGATGGCATCTGTGATTTTGAAGTACATAATGACGGTGGAAACATGAATTTAGAAAAAGAAGTTACATTATTCACACTGTTTCAAGCTATTAATTCGTTACCTAATCATTTAATTAATGAAGCATACGATAACGTTTATAACTTCTGCAATTTAACTGAAAATGCAAAAAGTAATTTTGAAAAAGCACGTAATAGATATGCACATTTAATGACTTCTCCATTTGTTTTGGTGAAGATTCTAAAACTATATCAAAAGGAATATTATGATGAATATGTTTTACCTTTATTACGTAAGCCAAAAATAACATTTGATATCAAACTTGACGACTCGTTTTTGATAACAGATATTAGACGCAAGGCTGAAAATCATCAGTATAAAAACAGTTCTGAAGTAATTGAGGATTTATCACGTGTAATCCGTTTTGTAGATTGTGGAAATAAATATTTCATTCAGAAAGATTACAACATACACGACAAAATGAATCAAATATCATTTGTTCTTCAATCAAACATGAAAGAGTCACTCAAAATGATTAAATTATTTAAAGAAGAAGGTAAAACAATAACAGCATGGGATGTACTACTAAATCAATTATCCTCATTAACCGTTAAGGGTGTTTGCTTTAAATCTGATTCCCCCGATGTTTTCTCAACGTTTCATGGTTATAAATACAACATTCTTGAAAAGCCTGATTACTCAAAAATTGAGATGTTTATGAATTTCATTAAAGAAGCCATTTGTGATAATAACGATGAAGTGTATAAATACCTTCTCGGCTGGATTGCATCAATGATTCAACATCCTGGAATCAAGAATGAAACAGCAATTATTTTGAAAGGACTTCAGGGAACAGGTAAAAACAGATTCACAGACATTATTTCTGAACTTCTCGCTGGTTATTCATGTAAAAACATTACCGAAATAAGTGAGCTAACGGGTAATTTCAACTCAGTTGTTGAAAATAAAATGTTTCTTGTACTTAATGAACTCAAGAATGTAGGTGAAGATAGACTCGCAAACTTCAACGCTTTGAAATCAATTATAACGGATAATGAGATTAGAATTAATGAAAAGAATCAACCCAGAAGAACAGGTCAGAATGTTGCAAACTTCATTTTCGTAACTAACAACGTTTACCCTGTCAAAATTGAAGTTGGAGACAGAAGATACGTAGTTTTAAGAGTTAATGGTAAATTCAAGGGTCAATTTGATTACTTCAAGAATTTGATGGATTCATGCACAAAGGAATTTTATGATAATTTACTGACGTATTTTATCAATTACGACCTTTCATCATTTAATGTACGAATCATACCGATGACTGAAGCCAAACAAGATTTAATTGAATTATCATCAAATCCTTTAGATGTATGGATAAATACACATTATGATGAATTGTGTGCAGGTATGACGTGTAAAAATGCTCTATTCTGCAAACCATCAGACATGAAAGACAAAAACTTTCAAATGAGTATTAAGGATAAATGTGATAGGAAACATAGAAGAATAGACGGTAAACAAACATGGTGTTATGTTTTGAAAGAAGAAATGAAAGGATTATATAAACAGGTTGAACCAAACGATAATGAGGATTCATTTACTGACGATGAAATACCTGTAAATGAGCCGCTAAGCGGCGAGACCTGAAGGTCTAGCTTTATAAAGTATGATTTGAATTTATTTTTGCATTAATCCTTTCATGACTGTTGTCAAAATGTCATGTTGTCACATTTTTTCATAGAAGTTAAATGACCTGGTAGCACATGGTAACATGGTAGCACCTTCGGTTATTCAATAATTAATTATTTTTTGAATAACTGGGAAATAAATTTACGTCAAATATGCAATTTATAAAATCTTATGTCGACAGGCTACGTAGCACAGTGGTCTAAGGTGGTGTTATGGAGGGGTCAAGGTCTGTGGTTCGAACCGCGACGGCGCCGTATTTTCTTATTTTCTTTGTTTGTCTTGTTTGTCGTGAATAAAAAGTATCATAAAAGTGCTCTATCTTCCACGGGAATAAATAAAAAATTTACTTTATTTCTTCTTTATTTCTTCTTTATTTCTTTGTTCCCGTGGAAGAAGGGTTTTGCTGTTTTTCTCAGCCGAAATCAATGATTTTTTCATTTTTGGAATCCTTAGCGAATGAGGAATCTTTTCTCTCGTGGAAGCTTTGACCTAAAATATATTTTTGGTGTAAATTTATGACAAAAATAAATGGTACCATTAATGATATCATGACTGTTCTCATTCATGTCTGATTTACATCCAACGAAAAAGTTTAGAAGAATTTTCTTATTCCTCCTGTGTTGTTGTCAAAATGTCATGTTGTCACATTTTTTCATAGAAGTTAAATGACCTGGTAGCACATGGTAACATGGTAGCACCTTCGGTTATTCAAAAATAATTAATTATTGAATAACTGGGGAAATGAATTTACGTCAAATATGCAATTTATAAAATCTTATGTCGGCGAGCGTTCATTGAACTCTATACCATGCGTAAACTGTCATAAATGGTGGCATGTAATCTTTACTTTGTCCCGTTGTTTGTGTATATCCTGAAACGCGATGTGTATGGTTTCCTTCTCCCTGAGTGTCGCTCCAGTAACAATTTATGGCAAACTTAACGTTGTCTTTAACATCATATCCTTTACCTTTTGTCATTCCTGACCAATCCCAATATCTATGCTTATGCCAACCCGCTTGAGATGTACTTAAATCTATGTAGTGACTGTGTGCAGGTAAATTTTCACCTGTAATCGTTTTACTTCCACCTATTTCCTTTGAAGAGTTTGCACAATACAAAAACCTGTCGACTATTTGTTCCCATGCACCAACACCAAACATTGCTTGAGGACCTCTCACATCCATAGATGTATAAATAGAACCTACTGGGTTCATTAAATCAAACATATGAGATAATATAGGATTGTCTCTTTTGAACTTAAAATATAGTGTAACTATTTCTGGTTTCTTCTGGTTTGTGTCAGAATATTTTTTATAATATAATCTTATGTTTTCGGGGTAGGTAAAGTCTTGACTTAAATATTTATTTCTGTCATCTTCATAATAGTATACTATTCTCGTTTTTTCTATTGCATTATATCTTTTATATCTATAATATTCTAAATATAATGTTTGCTTTTTTGGGTCTACACGTGTGTCAACACCATAGTCATAATAATATGGTGCTGGAGCTACGTTAGACAATGTCATATCCGTCATTTCATAAACTCTTAAATATTTCTTTTGTTCGTCTCCATATAAGTTTAAGTAACAGTTGTTGTCTAATGGAACTTTAACTTGTGTACCATTATTCTTTATATAGCCTACATACATTTCATTGTTATTTTTCGGAATGAGTTTATACCGTATACCATTTTTTAAGGCGTGTACAAACTCCCATCTAAAATATTTATTTTCTTCATAGACGGAAAAGTCACCAGCAATAGTTTCAATATTTTTAGTTGTTCCTATCAAACTTTGGTATATTTCATTCACATATTCTTTATTTGCTTTCTTCTCTAACTCATCGTTAACATAAGTTTTATCTGCTTTAAGGTCTAAACATTCTGAAACCCATCCTGTATCAGCTTTAGTTTTTAAAATCTTCGATGTCCGTTCATGGTACCATTCAACCCTTTCGATAATTTCATTATCTTTTTCATTAACATATTCCTTATCTGCTTTCTTCATTAACTCACTATCCACATATTCCTTATCTGCTTTCTTCATTAACTCACTATCCACATATTCCTTATCTGCTTTCTTCATTAACTCACTATCCACATATTCCTTATCTGCTTTCTTCATTAACTCACTATCCACATATTCCTTATCTGCTTTCTTCATTATGTCATTTAGGAAACCTTTTATGAATTCCTCATTTAAATTAAATCTTCCAATCTTCAAAACTTTAGGAAATGCATTTAATGCGTAATATCTTTGTTCTTCTGGTGGAATTGATGTTATATCATCCGTTATTCCTTTAATTTTTGAATTCATAAATAAAATTTCTTTTATATTTGATATCACTGCACCACCTTTGCAAACGAATTCGAAATGGTCATTTTTCAATACTATCTCCAAATCTCCATATTTCAACATTTGCGTTTGTTCTGCCGTCTTTGAATTATATGCATATATGGCGTATGTAATGGTCTGTGCCTTAAGTTGTTGTGGTTGCTGTTGTTGTTTAATCATTTATTATGATTTAAAAATAAATATTTAATCTGTTATCTCATCAGCTATTTTTTCTATTTGAAATTGCCATAATATTTCATTCATGAATTCTAAATCACAATCAAATAGGTCAGTTATTCTAAATTAATATTTGATAAAATCTTTTGAATGAAGAAAAATGAATTCCCAGATAATTGAAACGATATGATAAAGAAAATATGTTTAAGTTGATGGATAAAATGTTTTGTATTGATGGGTAAGAGTTATGGTCTAATGTTTGATGTGAAAATCTCATTGGGGTATTAACTTTATCACATTTGATTAAAATGAAATTGGAACCAGTGTCAGAATACAAAACATCCCCAACATCTTTTTCAAAATTTAATATCCCCAACAATGAACGAAGATGAGGAGTACAAAATTTAATTTTCAGCGGAAATTTAATAAGGTTATTTATTTCATCAAGTTCAAAAAGTTTATCAGGTTTTGATTTAAAATTTTCTTCATACCATATGATAAATGATTCATTTAAATAACTTAAAATCATGTTAATATCCCATTTCGTTATCACATTATTTATATACATATCATACGTTTTTCAAGGTCATCTTTAATAAATGATATATAATCTGAAGGGTCTAAAAGAATGGGATTAAATTTACCACTCACAGAAACGAGAGTAACTTATAAATTCCGCTAACTGTTAAATTTAATTCACAGTTATTATTTCGAAATAATATTGATAATTGACATTTTTATTACGATTAAAAATATGGTAAAGCGTTATTTTCCAGTGATAAATAAAACTAGAATAAGATTACCTCAAGAATTCATAAATTCAACGAATAAGAAATTCATTCATGTTATAAATTTTAGTGTTTTCAGAAAATATGAGTCAATGTCATATTCATCATCGGTTATATTTCACTTCATTCAAATTTAGTTCAATTCAAACCCATTAATGACCATTTCATAAGATTTTCAGATGGTATTAAAAATGCAATTGATAGATTAAAATATGAGACAGATTGACAATATCGAATTTTTGGAATTTTGGTTTAAATATCCCGATGGAAAAAAGATTGAAGTTAAAGATAAAGCTGATACTATAACAAAAACAATTACAATGACCGATCCGGATAGTGGGGAACAAAAAGAAATAAAACAACGATAGAAACTGGTGAAAGGTCAATTATTATTGATTATGATTCAAAGGATTATTATTCGATAATGTTAATGCTTGAATATTAAATAGCCTTAACAAAGAATTTTTCAAGTGATATTTTATATTCATCAACTATTTTATTATAAATATCATTATATGTTAAATGAAGTTCAGTTGTTGTTCCGTTCTTTGATATCTTAATTGTACTAATATCCTTTATAGGATTTATTTTTGCAACTGTTCCGCAGCATGAAACCTCATCATCTATGAAAAATTGAATCTTAACGTCTGAATCTTGAACATCACAAAGAATGGCGATAATGTGAATTAATGATTCATAAGGTAAAATAATTAAACCAGATTGATCAATTAAATTTATTATTGAATCATAATTATTAATTATTATATCACGGTAAATTTTCATTAATTCTGAATTAATGTCTATTTTATATGGCGCATTGCGACTGTAATCGTAGATTCCTGAGTTCTCGATGTTTGATGAAAGAGGTGGGGGGTATGTTGGATAAGTGGGAATTTCAACAGGTTCTTTACCGGGTTCAGATAAAATGATTGGGTCTCCATTCTCATGGTTTTCTTCATTCTCTTCATTCTTTGGTAAGTCACGAGTTAATAAATTTGGTTGAGTTGCTGACCTTGTTAATTCAGGGCTAACATTAACTTTAACATTTTGAATAATTCGTGATTTATCATCATTTACGTTATAACCAACCGTAATCTCTGCTTTTGCGTTAGTGTTCTTTTGACTTGTGAAACGTCTTCTCATTTATAATTGAATAAAAAAAGAAAAATATATTTAAAGTTTTATTTAGTTGTTACGGTAATATCCCAAGGTTCATCATTGTTTGCTTATACTTTCTTTGTAACTGCACCAATTATGTTATTGATATTGCTTTGAGTTTCTTCCAGTCTTATTTTATCATTTACATATCTTTAATCATTTCATTACATGCATTCTTAAAACCATCTGATTTTTTCCAATTTACGTCTATCACTTTCTTTAATTAAATCAAAGTTATAACCTTGTTGAGAATAAAGTGGTTTCTTTATCAATTCCTTGAACGCTTCTGAAAGTGAAGATGAAGAAATTCTTGCCACTTGAATTGGTTTAAATTCTGCTTTCATTGCTTCTTTCTGTTCATTGAACACTGGATCGAATAAAGCAACTTTAAAGAATTTCTTAGCTGGAATTTCAGGTCTCAAATTTGTATATTGACCATCAAACTGATTAACATATCGTGGTAATCCATCCGGTCCCTCTTCAATAGCGTTTAATTCTTCATTGAAATAAGAATATGGATTATAACGGTATGAATTAATTGGACCATGTTCACCTTCTCCAATGTATTGTTTAACAGCTTTTCCATTTTCATCAAATTGCATAGGATAACATTCATTATATGCTTTACGTTTAGGATAATCAGATATAGTTAATTTATACCCATTTATGACTTTAATATTACCTTGACCATCAGTAACGAAAACTTCATTTATACCATCAGGTTTTCCATTTGGTCCTGTAATGTCTGCTTCGTGTGCCTCCCAATTTGGACCATGACGTTTGGCATATGCTTGAGCTTCTGGTAATGTTAAAACGTTTCTCATTTGTTTAACATCTTTTTGAAGACCGGCAACAATGTGGACTAATTCTTTCATTCCATCAGGAACTTTCATATTTCTAATATTCACCCTTTTTTGTTTGTCCCTGTTTTAATGGAACCTGTAGAAGATTTGCTATTTCTGTCATGTTTAATTATAAATAAAAAATAAAAATTATAAAAAGTTAATCAAATTTAACACTTCCTTTATTTAAATCAACTATTATTTTCCCATGTTCTCCTAATTGCTGATATTGTGTGTAAAGTTTCATTAATGCTCATTGGTAAATTCACTTGATAAAGCATAACGTTCAATGTCTGTTGACGACAAAAACCACTGAAAATGAAAAGTGTTGATAGATTTGATTTAATGTTTGTGGCTTAATATGCTTTGAAGTATTGAACAGCCATGAAAAATGAACACTGAATGTGTCGACATTGGAGTTAATAACTGATTAAAATATGATTTCTCATTTGTTATTAGTTTTGATTTCACGCATCATCTAGAAAAATGAGTGAATGCAAAAATTCTCTATCAAAATTTGAAATAGAAAGTGTTTCAAATAATTCATCCCGTTGTTTATCAATAATTTTATCCTCTAATCCTTGCTTCTTGATTGTATTATATAATTCTTTATACATTAAAAAGTTTTTTAAATAATCTTCTGCTTCTTCTTGTGATAAATAAATAATTGGAATTTTGATTAAATGCTTTAAAGATTCAAATGTATCATCTGAAGGTGAACCTGAACGGTTGATATAAATTAACACATGTGAATGGGGGAAGTGTTAGCAATAATGATAATTTGTTTTAATATCGTTAATGTTTTACCTTTATTTTGTTTACCAATTGCTGCAGTGATTGAATTTAAGTAACATTCAGAATATGGAATTTTCATTAATTTTTCCTTAGATAGAGCATTTCTATTATCACTCAATGCTTCATTAATCATATCATCTACGTATGTATTATATACTCCTGCTAATTCTTCAGAATTTAAATCCATTTAATCAAAAATAAATTTATAATTTTAAACATTTCTATTCATCAATATTTCATCATATGAACTTCTATACTGTGGTGGTGTACCTGTTGGATGATATTTCAAACCTTCATCCGGTGTCCATGTCCAATACGTAGTCCTAGTAAACCAAACCTGAGGAGGATTTGTCACTTTGAACAGTAAGTGTCATTTTCACCCTGAATGATTGGATAAGCTTTCACTTGTACTGTAACTTGTGAGTTGAAAGTTTCTAATCCATCAAAGAATATACCCGCTCCATCACGTTGAACTGGAATAGTGCATAAGAATGAAGTTTGGTCTTTCCATGTTCTAGCTAATGGGTGCCATTATCATCATTCAGTGGTCTAGTTAATGAGTCCTCGTATTCTTCGTGCATTCATTCACTCCATCTAAATCAGAAGCTTGAAGCATACGTGTAAAGAATATGTCGCCCACTGTGGTCATCGCTTGATCGGGGAAGTTTCTGGAATCTATAGTGACCTGAAGACCTCGAAGCATTGGATTTTCTAAAACTGTTCTTTGCATTGCATTCTTCGGAAATGTTAACACAACATCTGTAACATTATGAAGAGCGTATGAGAAATCTGAGCTGATACCTTCAGGAGTGATGCAACCTCCATTTAGTGAACGAACGTCAATATGTTGAGCTGGAATCATGAATGGATCTTCCTTACTGAATAAACGTGGTATTGCTTTAACTGATTCTTCAATTAAACCGTATCCTGGTGTAATGCATTTATCCTCTAAAACTTCCATCTTTGTGCATGAAATAATAACGTCATCAACTGTTGCGTCAGCAGATGTAGCGGCTAAGCTTGTAATTAATTTGGCAGGAAGTCCGATTTGTTGGAATTTGCGATCATATTTATAAACATGATTCATAATCTTTTCATAATTTTCATCAGTTATCTTTTCATAAACGTAATTTTGTAAATCAGCAACTCTTAACGGGTCAACCTGACAAAATACTAAAGTATCCCTGAAAACATAATATTTAAGAATGATTTCACCAAATGATTTAGGATAATCATCGAACGCCTGAAATGCTAACAAATCATTTACCGGAATAATCATATCAAAAGTGATATCAACTTCTTCATTTGCTTTCTTGAAAACTTCTGAAGGGTCAATATATTTACCACATACTGAGTTATCATATTTTTGAACATTATTATATAACGAATGAACAAACTTTTTAACTTTCCTTTCTGATTTTGGTTTATATGTTGCAAATGCGAAAGATTCACGGCGCAATCCATCTGAAGATAACCGGCATCACCTCTTTCGGTTTCTACTTCTAATTGTTTAAAGCTTTGATTTGATGATTTGTAACCAACGAATAAACGCATGCATTTAAAAGCGGCATCACATGTGAAAGCTTTATTTGAAACTAGAGTTGCTTTAACTTTGCGTTTAATATATGTGTCACCTAATTGGTTCACATCATGAGCCGGATTTGTAATTCTTAAATGAGTTTGTTTATCATCAAAATATGGAGTATCAGAGTCATAGCATGAACTTTCAAGTTCTCTATAATATCTTCTACCATCATTCTTCGCGAATATTTCATTTATCTTTTCGAATGAATGAAACACATTTCCATTAATCGGTTTAGTGTTTGGCACCAAATAGTTAGTCGTCATTTATTATTAAATAAAAAATCAAAATTAAAAGATGAAAATGAATTTTTAATTTTAATGAAATAATCAACTATGGCTGCAGGATCTTTAAGAAACTGTGGGATAAAGTAAAAAGAGGAGCGCATAAAGTTTGGGAAACAATGAAGAAAGGAGCAAATTGGATATTTAAGAATAAAGAAGTAATTAGTGACGTTGCTGAATCAATAACACCAAAAGCCGCCCCAATAAGAGAAATATTAAATAAAGGAGAAAAAGTTTATCAAAGACTACAACCGATACTAAGATAAAAATAATATTTATTTTTCCACTATCTACCTCCTATTTTATTAAGTATTCCTTCAGCTATTCCACCAATTGCGTTACCTGCTTGTGCTCCCATCGCTGGATTACCTGCTTTAGTACCTAATACTCCACCTATGATAGTTCCTGCCGTTTTCGCTACTGGTGCCAAAAAGTTTGCAACGGGTTTAATAATCTTTTGATGAACCCAACTTGCAGCTTTCTTAATTCCATCCCATAATTTTTTAAAGAATCCTGCCGCCATTTCTGATTTAATATTAATTAAAAAATATATTTCATCACTTATATTCTAATTTTTATTTAATGATAAATGAAACCGATTTTAAAAATAAATGAAACAAAGGAGGAAGAAATAAATGAAAGTGAAAATGTTCAACAAAAAATAAACGTTGTTAAACCAATTACTGAAATAAAAATTTTTTCATCTGTTGAAGAATTTAATGACTATTATGCTAATAATAAAAAATTATTTGAAGAATTGACAACATGTAAATTGAATAAAATGTTTAAAGTTGATGGATTCAAAATTTCAAAAATAAAAGGAGTGGTTAGTTTGAAATCTATTCCTCAATCAAGAATCACCTCATTAATGAAAATAGATGATTTAACAAAAAGAATAGAAATTATTGAAGAGCGAATGAATCAAATAATTGATTTCATAAATCATGACTCGTTGAGCCCGGGTCCTTAAAGCCCAAGACTTAAAGTCCATCACTGAGTTCAAGGTTATATTCATCAAATATTTCATTATTAAATGCAACTTCTGCTAGTTTATTTATTTTTTCAATACGATCATTTGAAAGTCTATCGTTTAATTTTTTCTGAAGTTTTTCATTTTCTAGTTCTGAAACTTTATTTGGATGATATTTAAACCCGTTAAATTCTTTTTCCTCAGTTTTGATCATTAATTTACAAAGAACTTTTGTGGTTGAAATTCGTTTAAACCATTTATCATTAATATTTGTTATAAATTCAATATCTGGAATTAATTCCCAAATTTTTGCATTTTCAATTAATTTATTATCAAATGCAAAAGCAATAGGTTTAATATTAAACTTACCTTTATAATATATACTTTCTACATAATCATTGAAATAAACATCTACTTGTTTAACATTTTCAAGAATTGGTGAAAGAACATCCATTAATTGATTGACGGTTACGAATCTTGATCCACTCATTTATCATTAAATAAAAAAATAAATTATTCAAAAAATGTAAGACATGAATTTTTAAAGTTTATTTTTCATTCATGAAAATAATTATTTCTAATTTCTTTTACTCTCTCGTACATACTAGATTTAAAGAATTCAGAACTTTTACCATAATCTCCTAAATGTTTTCTTATCCCTAACGTGTGCCAGTTATTATATGAAACTGAATAAACTTTATCTTTATCTTTACACCTTTCATCACTTCCAATATATTTATATTTCAATTTTGATTTAGCATTTTCATATTCATTAACGTTTAATAATTCACAGTCTTCCTTTTTAAATAAATGTTTTATGTATTCAGGATTTAATACTCTACGTTTATATGCTCCTAACTTAGTTCTAAAGGTTTTTCTACAAAATTTAGGAATTCCATCCTCTTTAATGTCATCAATGATTTCCATTTCATTATTTTCAATTTCTTCTTCCCGTTTATGAGGTCTTTGATTATGACTCCATTGATTCCATGAAATTAAATATTCTTTATCATTATATTTATACCTCATTAGCTTATTTTGGCTTTCATATTCATTTAATAATTCACAATCTTCATTTTTAAATTGAAGTTTAACCCATTCAGGATTTAAACAATGTTTAATTAATCGCGGAATATCTGACATCATCTATATATAGCTTCTTTTATAAAAGATAAAAAAATAAATTATTTTAAAATTAATGTTAATTTTTTAATGATTTATAAATAAATATATTTTAAAGCATCGTCTATATATAGATGTAACAAAAAAAGTCACTAAACCCGCACTCATATACTACTTTTTCAATATTAGTTGATTTTATATCGAAAATGCATTAATAAAGGACATTTTCATGAGTCAATATAAATGATATAAAGGTTAGTGGATGTAAATAATAAGAAAAAAATAATTTTGAAAATTTTTGTTACAGAAAAAAATTATTAAAAATTTTAGCTATGTATAGATTGACAATGTCATATTTTGTTTTTTGATAAGGGTTTCTTGGCGGATATGTTGGAGGAGCTACATAAATAGGATATTGTGCACCATATTGAGGTTGCTGTTGATTTTGAGCAAAAATACGGGCGGGATACCTAGAATATGAAGAAAATAAGTGCAATTTCATTATTTTAGTTTATAAACTACAATTTTTCGATTTTTACTAGAACCTGAAATATAAATCAAAAGTTTTTTTTATAAGGTTTCATGTAACATCACATATTTATGGTTTTGGAGGAATAAGTTTACCTAAAAAAATACTACCTATAGTTGCCACTGTTAACAGCAATTTTTCAAATATGCTAGGTTTTTCTAATTCTTTTATCACAACTGGCTTATTTTTCACAAAATTTGAAATTCGGGTTCCTGGGATTTCTTGAAATTCTCCAAAACTTGCTTCTCCATCAGGATTAATTTTAATCATTCGCTTGAAAGAGGCTTTAATACGATTGTATCCTCCTTCTGCTGGTTCTGTCGACTCTTTTTCTATAACTTCTTCATGAGTCTTTGTCTCTCCAACAAGAACTTTATTTTCTCTGGCAATTGTCCAGTTTCCTTCTTTCTTCTCATTAGTCTTAAAGAAGAATGTAACTTCCCTTACTAAATCGTGCCTGATTTCATATTTATTGCCATTCTCGTATGTATATCCAACCAAAACATTGTTTTGATTTTCTTCATGCACTTCCACTATCTTTTCTTTGTATTCCTTGATTGTTTCCCAATCTGAATAGCGAATATCTTTTTTATTAGTATTGGATATACATTTGAGTCTGATACTATCAATGTACTTATCATATGTAACATTGCCTTCAGTAATAATATCAACCCGAACTCTTTCCTCTTTTTCTTCTTCTGCTGTGTATCCATATGTTGCTTCTTTAATATCAGCTGAACTAAATTTCTTTCGACTGACAGCCCAACCATGAAATTGAGTCATACTTTGAACGCAAAATTCTTTATCTGGCTTATGGCAATTTACATAATAAAATGGAATGTTAGGAGTTTCTTTGGCACCTGAAATTTCTTGTAAATACTTTGCTAACAATGGTCTGTATTCATTATCTCTAGTTTGTCTATCTGGATATGTTGAACTACTAAATGTCCAAATTACACAAAGATGAGAAAGGATCACATCTCCAAAGGCATCATAAATGAACTTGACAACATCTTTTACTCCTTTTGTTAATCTCATCAACGGTGCTTGGATGACAATTCCAATAGCATTGATACCAGTTTGTAAGTTTTTAAGATATTGCGCAAGCCTTTCAATTTGTTCTTCTGTAATATGGTCACCATCGTCGAAGCCTTCTGTATCAATCACAATTCTCTCTGTACCATTTATAATCTTTGATGACTGTTTGGGAACTAAGGTACATGCATGCGGTTTATCACTTGTCTCGAATACATTTTCCTTTAAGTACATGTTACCTATAGAGCTTTTTCCTGATCCTGTATCGCCAATAAACATAACAACAACACTTTTTTCGTCTTCCATGTTGAAAAATGAAGTGACAAATAATTTTGTGAATTTTAACCCAAATATTGTATATTCAATTTTCATGACAACATTATTATATTTAAGTATATTCCTAATGTCATTATAAATCTTTATTTATAAATAAGTATAGTGGTTTTTTAAATTAATATCACTTCACTTCTATATCTAAACTTTGAAATTGAATTCAAATCATCTGTAACCTCAAAATATCTAGATGTTGGAACGTTGTAAAACTCTCTAGTAAGTATTAGCTGTTTTATTCACAAAATTCAACAAATGACATTGATTTAAAATATTTCGTAAATAGTTGAAATTTCTACCAACTATCATGATTAATATAACATAAAATTTGGATCATAACAGATTCATGTTAATTAATCGATTTGTAAATGATGTGGTTTCTTTTTATTTCTAAAATTGATAATTTATTGTTTATAGTTTATTTATTATCATATAGTCCTATAAATTAAACATTTTTTATAGCTACCAATAATTAGAAAAAGATTATTTTTTGACAATTAATTTCGAACAATCAAAGCATTCATCTGAATATATTTGAAGTGGGATAATGGGAACAATGAGTAAATAATTGATGGATTGGTTAATGTGAATGTTCAATGATGATTTACTTCATAATTTTCAATTTAATCTTTATAAATCAAATATAATTATATAATTTCTACATTTGCTGACGTTTATGAGGATTCAAGTATGAGGAAGCAATGTTTATGAGAAATATGTACCGTATATAAAAAGGTCCAAGGAATTATTTTTTGTCCAAGGAATGCTATCAAAACATGATCGGCAGTATTCAAATTGCTGGCAAAAATGTCAAAAAATAAGAATAATATGAATTTTTTACTACTTTGGATTATTGTAGATACTTGAAATATATAAAATCATAAACAATTAGTTATTAAGTATTTATTTATTAGATAAAAATGATACCATATTCCGCTTATTTTTTTCCGCTCTGCCAGTGGTTTGAATATTCATTCTAATTGCCCACACCGCAGATGTTTTGATAGAATTTCTTGGACAAAAATTAATTCCTTGGAATTTTTTATCGACGGTATTTTGAATTTATTCTTTGATTGTCTTAAGCTCGGAATCGCATTCGAAAATGTAAGAGCTGCATTGAGTTACCAGTTGAACCTGGATATTGTGCTTTACACATATATGATGAAAAATGGGAAAGCTTATGAATATAATAAGTATTATTAACGTTATTAAGTATAACATTTCTACCTATTCTTATGTTATCACAAAAAATATCATTAATAACAATCCTTGATACTAGGATTCCACCAAATTCAAAATATGCATTGTTACCAAAAAATGAACAATTTTCAATCAAAACTTCTGCACTTATTATAAATAGAGTATAAGTTGTTATATTTGCTTGTGAATTATTCAAAACATTAGAAAATTTTAAATGATAATTGCCATGAAATAAACCTATTATTTCGATACGTGATTTTGTACCAAAAAAAAGTGGAAAAAGTCAAATTAGTAATTAGGATTGAGTTTCTAATAAAAATTCCTGCATTTAAGTCGGCCATACAGAAACTAGTGTTAATTGATTCAACTTGGATTATTCCATATGTAAGAATATTTGTATATGAATTTTCTAAATTACCGCATTTGTAATATGACGATTCATAATGATAATTTAGGTCATTTGAATTTCCACGTAATTGAATATATGAATGATGTCCAAGAAAGTTATATGTATTTGATTTGAAAGCACAAACACGATGGTGTACAAATGAGCCACTGTCTTTAAAATATATAGCTCCACCGTTATTGCGACTACTACAATTTTTAAATAATGAATCTGAGATTAAACATTTTACTTGATGACTTTCGAAAAATATGGAAGATCTTTCACTAATTCCAATGAACGTGCATTTGAATATAAAACATTCTCCATTGGTAATGTTTGTATCAATGTTTTCGCCAATTAATGGTTCTGAAGTTGGTGTGCTATTATAAAAGAGTTTCCAAACATCTTTTGAAGCAAAATCGAAATGGAAATGCGTAACATATGATCAAAATCCGGTAAATGTTTTTGGAAGTTGTGAGAATTCGATAAAAAAGTTGAAAATCATTTGGAAAATAATTAAAACAATATGGAAAATGAAAAATTGATTTTTCGTTATATTCACGTAATCTGTGATTATTTTTCAATATGATATTGTTCATCTGAATTATTTAGAAAATTAATGAATCGAACAAAATTGATTTTCAATTTTTAATGTTTTAATAGATAAAATGAAAGAATATATGATATTTATATGAGTATGAATAAATAAAATTAAGGTTTCTTGTTAATTGCATATAAATATTAATGAATTTCGTAAATTAAAAATTATTTCTTCAAAACAAGTATAAATTGAAATAATATTATGTTTCACATCATTATATTGCTCTTTAAGTGATTTGATTTGGAATTATATTACTGAGTATTGGGATTAACATCGAATGAAGTGGAAATAATGTCAAATATCGGTTTTTCTTTAAAATAATAAAATGACATGTTCTTTTTCTTTAAAATCATTGCACAGTATTTTATGTAGTTAAATCATGGAAATAATGTAATTGATTATAAATTCAATGAATAAAAATGAGGTTGAAAACGAATTTGAAACAAAATAGCATTCTGATATAACTATATTGGAATTTGAATCAATGGTCGAAAAACAGTATGCGTTGTTATTAGAAACTATACAATTAGAAATTTTTTAATTTTGAATGGAATATTGATTCCTCTGTCCAGAAAGAATTAGTGATGAATGTGAGTGAATAGAATCAACTCCATAAATTTCAACTTTATAAGCTGTTGATATAGATGAGAAGATTCTATATTGGATTTGTGATCCAGATGATATGTGAATAAGTAAATTTGAATTTAATATATGAGCTGGTGAGCTGTTTTGGAGTGTTTTAATGAAAAATATTAATGATTTCAAACAATACAAAGTTCTATTTCTTTGCTGAAACCTGATTGCAAATAGTTAAAATAGTAAATCAAACTACTCTATTCTAAAAATCCAAAATATGAATAAATTTGAAGCCAAATATAGTTTACAATGTGGGCATAATTTGAAGTATATAACTAAATGGTTTATGAAAATGATAAATCAAAAAGATTTATAAACACAAGATAGAAAATCGAATTAGATAAGAAGAATATTTTCGATATGAATTGTTTTTCATAAATGAGCATTTACATTTGATGGGTTTCTTATCTGGTAAATAATCAAACTCAATAGATTTTTTACCAAATATTCTTCCTTTTCTGTTAATAGAATAAATAACGACTATATGAGAACCATATTCAAAATCGGGTGGAAACTGAAAAACATTTTCAAAATATTGATAATTATTAACTCTTTCCTTGCTTGAGATTAATTTCGAAGTAGTATCTGATTCATCAAATGATAAATTAAGTCTTTCTGCATTCACATTCTCCTTCAATGAGATATTTCCTATAAAAGTAACACTATATCTACTGTAATATGAATCACTGACAGAAATTACCGCATAATCTTTGTATGTGAAGTCTGTACTTCTAATATTTGATTCATTTCCATCTGTTGAAATAACTTGTATTGTTATTTTGTGATTCCCAAATGCAAAAGTGGTTGGAATAGGATATGATTCTTCAACTTTCTGTGGAGAACCAGTCAATGATATATGATGACCAAGTTTTTTGTTCGTATTGTCATCATACCATATAATAATTTCTGAATTAGAATTTATATCTTTGTTGTAAATCGTCAAAGAAAAATTGACTTCTTTGTCAAATCCATTGACTAATGGGTTATTTGTTATCTGAAATGATCGAATGTAAATGAAATTAGTAACAAAATTCGAACAAAAAGATGAATCTAAATGTGATAAGTCCAATTTCAATGAATTTGTTGTTGCCATTGAAACAGTTCCTGTATTTGATAATGTATTTGATTCTATATAGCAATCAGATATTGTTATTTTAGAATTAGAATCTGTCGAAGAAATACAATCAACATTATTATTCGAAATAATACAAGCTGTTATTGTGAGATCTGAGTTAGAAATAGAACCGAAAATGGCACCTGATACGAAATATTCAGATATACATTTATTGGATTTGACAATGAGATGATGAATTTTTCCAACAAAGGAATTATGACTATGGATACGGAGTTTTGAGGAAATATTATAGAATGTTGAGAAAGAAACATTATTTGAATTTTTAGATGATTGAATGTCATATCCAGAATCATAATCTGTTGAGTATATATTAGATATATTGATATTTTCCATCCGAAAATTATCTCCTGATTGTCCAATTGTTGGTCCTGCTCCGATTGAGTTTGCAATTGTAGTTTCTAAAATATAATTGAGTGATGTTGATAAGGAATATGAATGGGTATAGCATGATGAGAATGTGCTTGTAGGTTGTGCTATTGTATTATATGAACAAACTCTGTATTGAATCAAATTTCCTCCAAATTTGTAAATAAGTGAGTCCGTCGTAATATCATCATCTTTAACTTTATTTGAATCAAATACTGTCTTATAAACTAAAACATTTTTAGAAGCGCTAAGTGAGTAAATTATTTCGGTATCGAAATTACTAAAGAGTGTATCGTGGACGAAGTAATTATCTGATTCTCTAGTAGGTAATGATCGATCTGAATGGGGGATATATTCGTCTTTCGTACTAAAAAATGAGTTCCAGATATCATCTGGATAATGTTTATGATATTTAATATAATTGAATTGTAAAAACTTGATATACATATACAAATTAACCTAATCATGCTGGAAGGAGATCGTTTTAATATGTTAATATTGAATTTGAAATAAAATCTGGAGAATATTAAACACTATTTATTCAAGATTTGGATGCAAGTGATTAATTAGCATTGAATACGTAAAATTTCGCATGAAAACTGATTTAATAATGCCAAAGAAGTGAAAGCATTGAAATTCAAAACTATAAAAAAGTTCAATTGTCCATCAGAAAAATTTATATTCTTATGAAAAAAAGTAACTACTTTTAAAATATGGTAGATTGATGGGACAACTTTTGAATACTTAAAATTTCGGATAATAAAAGTGGCGTTTTCATCGTTTTCGCACAAGCATTTTCTTATATTAATAACTTATTCAATTAATGTCTATTCTCAATAAAAATTTAATTTTATTTACGATAAATAAACGTTTTTCATCCAATATTACCAAATTTGAAAATAATGATAAATACAATGCTAGTTTCATAAGGATAAGACAAGGTTTCAGCGTACAAATGAAACAATAGAAATTTAATGCAAATTAATAAATTTGCAAATTATTGATTAAAATTGAATATAAAATTTCTAATATTGGAAAGTAGGAAATCTGATACAAAAAAAGTTAAGGATATCATTAGGATAAATTTTTTGAATTCAATTTGGATATTCACTCATGATTCATTTTCTCTTTTCTGTCACATAATGAATCTTTAATCGTAATTGAATCTGTTTAAATTCTATTCCCGGTCCTGTGTTTCCTAAAAATGAACGACTTTCAAAGAGAACAATCGAGTCGAATGCAGTTAAAGTTGTTGAATTTTGTTTTGAACAGTTGTTATTATGAATATGATTATCATTATATCATTGTGATGTATTGTATCATGTATTTTTTGGTAATAATATGTTAGAAAAAGATGACAAGTATCTATTGGCTCCCAACGAAATATTCATTAATGAAAATAAGTAAATAATTTTGTCACTTATTTTATAAGCCCGAAAAAAGTATAAGAACTTATTAAAATATGTATTCACACGTATTATCGGATTGTAGCTTCTCAGAAAAAGTGTCAAAAAATTGGATTCTAAATCGCTATTTCATATAAGTAGTGAAATAGTATTAAATTATAACTTTAATTTTTTAATTTATGAAAATATCTTCAATTTAGTAAAAAAGTAAAAAATATGGAAACACTAACCGAGAATATCTGAAAATAATTAACTGGACAAGAGCAGATAATATGAAGTGGATTTCCGTAGCAAGCAGATACTGGATTACATATCGCATCAAATAAATCTAAATATTGAATGGTTAAAAACTCAATAGATAAATCAATCTGCTCAAATCTAATTGATTTATAAATTTCTGGCCTAACAGGTATTACAACAGGCTCTGATTTATTCAGATAGCTTGGATCATTGTTTCTGAAAATTGTTATGTTTTGGTTCAATTCATCGGTTCCTGAAATAGAAAAATCTGTGGCATAATGCCATGCTAAATTATCAACTTGCTTGGAAATATAGGAAACGTGAGTTAGATATAATAAATTTTTGAATTTAACATCAACCCATATCGTTTTGAATTTGTTTGCGTAAAATTGAGAAAAGTCTTTTGAAACATTAAGCATTGCAGTATTATATAATGTTGGGTATCTTCCTTCTGGATGAAACCAACTAGAATTTAAGGAAAAAGTTGAGTTATCGTTAGGATATAAGTATCGTACAATTCCATTTTTTGGCCCATTAATTGAAGGAATGAATTTCTTTAATTGTCTTACAGACATTCAAATTTTCAAAATTGAAATTAACAATGAATATATGGAACAATGTCACATATAGCTAATTATGACAATAAATGCTAAACAAACTTAATTTGCCTTTTTGTCTGATGGATGCAAAGTCTTATTAATATTATCAGACTATATACTGAAATATTGAATATATCTTTTGGAGATATGAAAATAGTTATGGAAATATTTCCCAATTTCGTTAGTTCCCTATGAGTAATTACAACAAAATTCTGAAAAAGAAAAATATGTCAAAATGTGACATAAATGAATGAAAAAGTGACATGCATTTTCTTGTATCAAAAATAGGGAAATCCACAGAGATGGGATTTCCGAAAGTCTTTGGGAATCTTTCTTCAATGATCAAGGTCCGTCATCAACAACATATACAAACAATCAAAAAGTCGACCTTTCAAGTTATGAAGATTTTTACTTATCGATTTCTAATTTTATTGAACTTTCTAATAGTGTTGTCAATGTCAGTAAATCAGGTCTCCGATTCCTTCATTGTCGATGTTCATTCAAAAATTGTTCAAAATCTGATGGCAAAAGTGGCGGTGCCATCCTGTATCAAGGAAACAGTGCTATTGTCCAATACCAATTTTGTTCGATTGGCTGTTTCTTAACTCGTGGTACTTGGGCACAACATTCTTATACTGTATTAGCAAAAAACAGCCAATTTCATAATGATATCATCGAAAGTACTTTATTTTCTTGTGGCCGAAACTACGAAACATATGCTACATTATTTTTAAAATATGGCGAAGTTCAATTTCTTAATAATAACGTTAGTAATTGCAAAAGCAAACAGTATTTAGGCTACCGAATTGAATATGGCAGCGGTAACTTTAGTTATTGTACTATTGAGTCTAATTCAGAAAATCCTGGTGATGGTTGTCTTCTCCATGACTATCCTTCCATAGCCAAAATGAGTCATTTCAATGTAATTAATAATACTAATAAAGATAAATACCTAATTTGGTCATTAGCAGATGCAAAACTTACAGTTGAAGATTGCGTAATACTAAATAACGATGTTAAATACGCATTTTATTTATCTAACGATCATCAAGATGCAGGCTATCTAATAGTTATCCATTGTTACACAGATAATTCGTTAGTAACCCAAACTCGAGGTGTAGTTGATTTATCACGAATTTCTACAAACTCATTCATTAATATGAATGAACATTTAAATCTTGGAGAATGTCAAACAAGACTTTTTAAGAATGACATTGTTAATAATATCATTCATCACTCAAGAAATAATTTGACATTCTTTAGTTCACTTTTTGAAAATGTCATTTAAATATTTCAATTAACAATAATCTTTTTTGAAATTTTATTTTTTTGGCCAAATAAGTCGAGTTTTACATATTTGATTTACAATTTAACATGAATATGCAATACCGATGCATAAGATTTGTGTCCTTAATGTCAAAAAATGAGAGTATAGCAAGAAAATTATCTTCAATTGATGTCAAATTTAACAAATAAAAATATCATTATTGTTCAAAATGAAAATAGATAATAATATCAGAAAATGAAACAAATGCAATAAAGATATAAATAAAATATACTTTTAAAAGATAAAACAAATAAAATATATAAATATAAATATAAAAAAATATAAGAATAATATGAAAGTTAAACAGAGGCAGAAAGAGCAACATCACCTTCCATAGTGCAGATGAGAGATTTAGAATGTGGACAGTAGATAGATTCAAGCATCTTTCGTTTGTCGGGAAGAACTTTAGCAATACGAAGTGTCCGTGCGTCGATGATAGTAAGTTGATCATCGAATGGAGCTGCGATGAATGATGAATGACCATCAATCTCAATCTTGCTAGCACTACCAACAGGAACATTAGAATCGATGTGTGAAAGTTGTGTACCATCAAATGAAAATGATGAAATGCCTTCCGTCGGAGATGTGGCAACTAAAATACCGATATCAAACAAATAAATGTTTGTGTACTTGTGTGAGATCAAAAATGATTTAAGTGTACTCATATCATTCATAGATGACAAAACAACTTTACCAAATGAATCTAATGAACAAATTAATCCTGAACTAGATGATGAATCAATAGAATTAATACGCATTCGACTAATATTCAATGGATAGAATTCGTGATCTTTAAAGATAGCAGGTGTCTCATCGCCAAAGATAGAAATAACACTCTCTGTGTTGCTCAAGATAACAAATCGTTCATAATCAATAGATGTGATGGATTTAACTTGTGATGTAAAAATGAATTCGTCACGTTCACTACTGTTGCAGTCACCAATGAAAAGACTGTCGAAATAATCACCAGAACAGATGATTTTATCTAAATATATCTGGGAACAACAGATGCCTTTGACAGGAAGAACACGAACTAAAACACTGTCGCTTTTGTCGCTGTCAATGAATTTGTAGATTTGACCTTTCTCCGTAAGACCGTAATCCGAATTAACAAATGAAACCTCATTATTGAATTTAACTTTGTCTTTGAAGACTAATGATGAAATAAAGACATTAGATTGTTGACTGTCGTCACTGAATGTGACATGGCGAAGTTTCTTGCCTAATGTTCGTTCTGTCCATTCAATAACAGAATTACCCGAACTTTGTAGTTCAAGTGATTTAAGATTGTTCCATTTATCAAGTGTTTGTTGAAATGTGAAGTCGAATGCGGACAAGATTTTATCACTGATCTTGCCTTGTTCGGTAACTTCGGGGAAAATAGGCTGATTATCAAAAAGATTAAATGATTTGCCGTTAAGGAAATTCTCCCATAAAACATAGTCAAAAACACTGATAGGATCAACAAAGATAGGATCTTTGAAAAGATCAGAAATGATTTTTTCAAGAATTGAAACTTGTAAATCTTCGAAAACAATCAAAAGCATCTTACCATCTTTCAAATAAACTTCGAATGATTTGTCACTTCGAATGATACAACTGAAGATACTTCCAAAAATGATCTGTAAACCACCAACAATAAGACGTGTTTTGTCAAGATAAAACAAACAATTGTATTTGCGCTGTTGACAAAAACACTGACATTTAGCAACTAAAAAATTGTCACTAAAAAATGAGAAATCATTAGGAAACTGATTACCAAGTGGCCATTTGTTGATTTCAACTAAATCAATCTTAAATGTTGTAGACAAAACGGGATGGAAATGGTTGTCGAACCAAACATAATTATCAAGTTTTTGAGCTTTAGGTTTGTCAAGTTTTTCGATGATAACTGGTGTTTGTTCGTTGTCGAATGTGTTGATCTTACTAATTTCGACAATCATCTTTTGAACAGAAATCTCTGAAAATGAGATTTCTTTGAAACTATTTGCAAAAACTAAATCAACATTCAACTTCTTTTGATTGCTCTGAATGAATTCGTTCAATGAGTTCTTGTTACTAATAAGATTTTCTTCTTCTTCAAAACTGATGTGTGAAACAAATCGTTCAATCAATTCGTTGTTATACATCATACGTTCACCAAAGTTTTCAACAAAAAAGTGATTTAAGTTTTTATCATTGAAAATAGAACTTTCGTCACTCAACAAATGACGTTCGAATGAACCAAATAACTTACAATATTTCTGAACAAATTTGCCAAATGTGCCTTGCCAATATGTAAGAAATGTGACTGAGTTGTAAAGTGAATATGAAAATGATGAAAAACAGTTAATATGACAAATATCGGGTGGAAAGATTTTCTCAAACAAAATCATTAAATCTCCAACACGGTTTGGATCAACACGTGAAACATTGCTGAAAACATATGTAACAATGGAACTGATTTTCAATGAATTAAAGATTTTTTGTTCCATTTCTTCCTGTGAAAAATTTTTCATGTAATTAAGAAATGAAACAGACAAATCAATGTCTAAGTAAAATCCTTTAGAATCAACACGCATACCTAATGTTAATGGGAACAATTCTCGAAAGATCTCTTTGTTGAACAAATTAACAAAATCGGTGTATTTAACTGCAACATTTGGAACTTTTGTTGGTAAAATAAAGCCACCACTAAGACCAAAAAGTTTCATAAGTTCTGAGTTTTGTGTGAAAATGTCACTCTTTGGTAAACAATGAATAAATGTGAAGATCATCGTTGTGAAACGAACAATGTCGATCTTAGATGGTTTAGTAGAGTATTTGATTGTCAAAAGTAAGATGTTTCGGATGAATGGAACAACATCAACACGTTTATCAAGACCAAGCATATAAATAGAGTACAAAATAGTTTCAAATCGCATATGTTTGAATGTCAATGAAACGGAGATGATTTTTGCAACCAAAACTTGTAAATTATTTGCAATCGTGAAATCAATAACACGTTCATTCGTTCGAAAAAGTGAGTAGAAGAACCAGATCTGTGGAAATGGAGCTTCCATAAGCATAGCAATGATTAATGGATTTTCTTCTGAGATTTTGTTGATTTGACTGAAGAAATCATTCAATAATTGACTATCATGAAATTGTGATGTAACAATTAAAACAGAAAAGAAAATTGAGTTATGTAACAAACTCAAGAATGCTTTGCTCAATTCTAACCATGATTCTTTTGTGATAAAACTTGCGGCATCTGCACGTGTCTTGTCATCTTCTAACAAATAAATTAATCGGAATAAAAGAGATGTCAACATTTCACTTGTCAATTTCCACAAAATTTTTGATGTTTCTGAATTAAGATTGATAATTCCAAACAATCTTAATAACAACTCCAAAGACAATTTCTCTGGCGCATTCTTTGAGAAAGAGATAATTGCTTGTTTATCATCTTTCGAACAAGAAATCGATAAATACTCGAATAATATTTTCCAAAGCAAATTTCTTAAAATAACATTATCACAAAGAACAATATAATTAAACAAATATTGACAACTTAAAATATTCGCTGTCAAATGTATAAAATCATGCATTATTTGTATATGTGTTGTTTCAAACAAAGTTTTGATTATAGATAAATCCATCGACATCCAAAGTTTGAAATTAAACAAAATATGTCTGAAATATTGATTCCTTATCTCTTCGTCTTTAATTAACTCCCAAATTGCTTCCAATTCTCGTGCACTCTCTAAAGTAAACAATTTTGAATCAATTTTATTGGAAATGAAACTTCCAAATACTTCAACATTCATTACTTTGAACAAATTCTTGATGAAATCAGGATTTGTCGCCATCAGCATTCTCATAATTTTCAAAACAAATGTGAGTTCATTTGAATTTGAACATAATTTCAACAACCTGATAATGCCGTTTGTATGTAAAATTGCTGTATGAATATTTTGGAAAGAAACGATTTTTCCATTGAATTCTGCCTTGACAAATTTCGATTCTATTTGGTTTATCAAATAATTACTTCTTCTATGGAAAGGTGTTAAGAGAATTATCAAATCATTTAAGTCTTTTTTGGTTTGCATTTCTTGAGGATCAATTTTTGACAAAGAATTTGTTTGTTCAATAGAAAGAGGAGCTTTAAACATATGGAAACTAGAAACAGAAATCTGAGCAGGAGCTAAGTAATGACTTAAAGCACCAATAGTTATTTTAACTGTACTTTCTTTGCCAAGTTTAAATGATTCCCATGCAGTTGTCACGTTTTCTCCATCAATAGAAATCATGAAATCGAAACCTGAAATGTTGACAACTAAATTATACCATTTCTTAGTTGTCATTGTTTTGTTTGTTTTTATTGTATTTCCGTTGGTTGACATATAATGCAATGTCAATGAATTAATAAATATGGAAATACAATCACCTGTATCACTCGTGATAGAACAAATCGTGTGTTTATTGATTTGTCTATCGATTCTGAAACATAAACAAAATGAAAATCCTTTTGAGTCACTTTTTATCTTCACGTTATTTATGTTGATCATTGTTTTGAGACCTGTCAAAGTAATGAAATTAGTGAATCCTGTTGGAATCGAATTAACACCTTCCACCATTAATTTCATCACTTTCATGAAGTATTCTTTTGATTCATGCGGACTAAATAACTGAAGAAAATAGCGTGGTTTGAAATCCCATGAAAACTGAGTGATCAAAATTTTTTCAATTATCGTCGAAGATTGAGAGTTTATATCGGTTATTTGACGATAAAAGTTGATCAAAATATCAGTAAAATGGGAATTCGAAATCATCGCGTTATTCGTCCAACAGTAATCAATGATACAATGGATGAACGCGAGTAATCCTGCATGGCTTGGTTTGTCATAAGTTGCGTTGTGCAGCATGATCAAACTCTCAGGATTTTTGATGAAATATGAGTTCAATTCTCCGGTGATAAATGTTTGTTTTTCGAAAACAAAATAAAGGAGAACATCTATAAGGGCTGGTATATTCTGGTTATCGGTATTATAAAACGCAAGCTGGGCATCATAGAAGTCTTCGTTGTATCTGTTGAGTTTTTCGCGGTTTTGAGGTTCGTCCATTACAATTAAGATCAAAACCCTCAACATTTTCAGTGCGCAGTGGTATCCATCAACTTTGAGGATCTTGAGGATACTGGAAATGTCCGAAATAATGTTGTTCTGGACGATAAATTTTTGAAGATTATTTTTTTGTAATTCGAAAACTCCGTCGAGCTGGGAAAAGAGCTCCGTCAGGATGTTTAGCTTTCCATCGGTCTTGGTGACGATTCCGCTTAAGAACTGATGGAAAATTTTACAAAATGATGCGAAACAATCTTCTTTCGTCACTAATTTCAACGAATCTCGGATTAACTGCGCGTAATATCCATGTAGTTCCACATCAAAGATACAATGGAATAGGAAACTTGTCATTTGGTCGATTTTCAGGACATTATTACAAATTGTTTCGTTTCTTAGAAGGATAGTAAGGAAAGAAATGAACTTATTGCGCTGTACTGGATATGGCGATGACTGTAGTGCCATTTCGTACCATACCAGAGCCTTAACAAGCTCTTGATAATTTATTGTCTCAATAAAATCTTTCGGTTGGCGATTGAAAACGGTATAGAGGAACATTAAGAGTTCATCGCATATGTGTAAGTGTGAACCAATCATGTATTTGCAACACATAGCTAAAATATCCGATGAATACCTCGAACCTCGCTCATAATTCTTTAAAAATGAGTTCAATATCTCTTGCCTTGTATAATACCTTACATTATGCTCTTCATCTGTCATTTCTTCGATATTATAATCATAAATATAACTTATATCGAAAAGATCACGCAATAAATGAGTGAAAGGGAATATCTGAGCATTGTTGATATGTGCGAAAACAAAGAAAGCGTAGATTAATGAGTATTTTCCGCTTTTTTCGAAGCCATTCCATAAATCTTCTCCATTTATTATGTTTTTAGCGATATTCGTCATTTGTTCGGCCATGTTATCGGCAATTTTTCGGTTTCCGATCAATCTCAGAAGGTTATTGAGTAAATCAAGGGATTGAAGCACTTTTTGATGGATAATCTCTAGTTTCGTAGGTTGTAGTTCCTGTAAATTAGTTATTTCTTCACCGTAATGTGGTGTCATGTATGGTTTTCGTTCGACTAATTCGATATTCATGATTTTTTTGTCTTCTGTGACTTCCTTTTCGAATGGGATTGCTGGGAATGGTATATCCTTGACATTCTGGAAGGTTATGAAACACCAAACTTGGAATAAAAAGAAATTTTTGAAATTTTCATTTTGGCAAGTGTATTCTATGTATTCTTTTTTGATTGTAAGTAGATGATTGACAACATTGAACGCTCTGTAGCATAACATGAAGATTAATTCGTTGTTAGTGTTAGTATTGAAAGAATTTTGAATTTTTGACACCATAATGAAAATAGAATCGATTAAAAGTTGGAAAGTCTCAGGTTGTATACTGAGTACGAACTCAGGAGATGCTTGCGAAATCGAAATAAGGAACAGAGTCATATTTGCTAGTTCTAACCCAGAAAACTGCTGTTCTCCCATCTTTGAGATGAAGCAGGATACGTAACTTATCAAGAATTTGATAAGTGAAAAGTAAAATGGAGATGCAGCTTTGTTATAATCGATAATAGGAGCGGATTCTCCAAGAGCTTTACATTCAAAGTCTCTGATGTACTGTGAATCGAAAATCTTATCGAATTTGTTGTCTGGATATGGAAGAATATTGTAAATAGATGAGAGGCAAATTTTGATATCGGATTTATAAGGTTTTGGCATGTGGAGCATTACCCAATAAATATCTTCAGCATCTTCTAGAGTAAAAAGTAATGACAAATCATCGGGATTTTCTTGATGTAACGCAAGATCAAGCTGGATAAGGAATTTTATTATTGATCTGACAATTGTACTTCCGATTACGTTGAGTACTTTGAATGGCTTGGAAAGGTACTGTGGATTTTGCTTAATGTATTTAATTAATATTATTTCGGATGGAGATAATGGAGTTTTTAAATCAAAAAGATCAAGTAAAAATTCTTCATTATCAGCATTCAATGTACTAGGAGGTTCGTATATTTTGGTTTTTGGTACCGTTGGTTGAATAATCTGTTGAAAGATGGTAACTAATCCTGCAGGAGCTCCTTTTGGAAGAACCGGCGTCTTTCCTTGCTTTTCAAAGTATTTTATCCATATTAAATGCCGAGGATCTGTAAAGAGTCTGTTTTGTGGCTTAGATGATGGCATTTAAAATAAGATTTCGCAAGAAAAGTTATAAAAATTTTTGTCAGATAAGCACATTTCAGATAGAAAAAAAATTGAGTGAGATCAGAATTGTTCCTAAAAAAGGAAATGCATTTTCACCATAATAAGAGCAATAGTATCGATTCTCCTTTGAAAAAGCTTAGAGGATAACATGGATGAAAGTCAACTTGTCTAAATCAACTCGATCCTATATATAATGATCAAGCGCATATTTGTAAAGCTATGCCAAAAGTGAGCTTGTTTATACTCAATAAGAGATATATGAAATTTGCAGAATAATAGAATTTGAATGCAAGAGAGTATCATTAGTTTTTATTGTTTGATGCATACCATAAATGTGATAATCATCTAGCCTATATTCATAAAGATTCATGTGAACAAGCGTATTGTTTTTTACGGTGTTACCCCCTACATTATTTTTTCAATTCTGTTGATTGATTTCCAATCAACAGAATTCATAGTTTTATAAATTGCCTTAGAAGCAAAAGATGAATGTCCATAATGATCAATCACCTAATGATGTTTGGGAACTTTTTTACGATACACCGCCTAATTCAGAACCAATTCAAGGTACAAATGTTACAGCAAGATCAACAAATAATGAATGTTTCATATATGAAAGCATATTTATCACCATTGCAACTAACAGTGCCATTTATTTTACGAATGCAAACAATAAATTCCTTAATTCCGATTGTTCATTTACTAACTGCAGCAGTAATACAAATGGTGGATCTATTTACTTTAAATGTAATAGTTCCATTGTTCAATACCGAACATGTGGCTACAAATCAAAAACAAACTCCTGGGGACATCATTCATATGTTTACTTAGTTGGTGAATCAAATAATAAAAATTATCTTTATGAAAGTTCTTTTTATGAATGCGGAAATTTAGAAAAATCTAGAACAAATAGTCTTTATTTTGGAAAGATCGAAGTTAAATCAATCAACGCAAGTTTCTGTAAAGCATTATATGGATCAGGAATATATCTATGGTATCCAACAAGTCTAAGTAATGTAACATATTCATCAATTTGTAACACAACATCAAAAAACTATATTTTACAATTAATATGGATTGAGTATAATTTTAATCTTTGTAATGTTTTGAATAATGAACACATATATTCTACTTATGGAACATTTTATGCAGTTGATTCAACTGTTCTTATTGAAAACTGTTCATTTCTTGGAAACATAGGACCAGGAAAAGAATTTTATCAACTATTTTCTGGTTCAATTACAGTTAAAGATTCTTTCTGTGACAGAATAGATAAAACATATGGATCAGTTAGAACAAATAATGTTCAAAATATATATTCTATTCATAATCTTTCTCACTTTTCATCATATCTGTGTGAAGCAGAGTTTCCTATTTTAGATTTAGTGATAAAGAAGAATATTATCACAAAATATGAAATTGTTTATCATTATTCATATCATTTCATTACTTCTCTTTGTATTGTTTTAGTAAACTCATAAAGTTATTTTGATTTATTTTTCCAATAACAGAAGATTTAGAGAGGACAATTAAACCCCTTTTCCTTCGCAAAGTCTCTTATTCAAATTTTTGATAGAGATTCACTCAATATTGAGGAAGGAAAACGATAGTAAAGCTTTACGAAGGAAAATGTGTTTAATTTTTGAGAATTCTTCACACTCTTTATCAGAATATTGAATTAAAGTCAGATGAGCGAAAGAACGCCATGATAATCTAAAAAAAAATGCAATTAGTGGTAGAAATCCACTGTAGCTTTCCACAGTATCAGTTGAATCGTTTGAATAATATATTATTTTTCCATGTACAAAATTCAAAAATTGGAAAATATTAAAGTATATATTAATTAAAAGATAAAAAGTATATAGCATGAAAGAATGAAGATTTTATATTAGTTGTAGCAACATTAAAGTATAAAATAGTAAATTAAATACTTCGAACACAAATTTAGCAATTGCAACCTGATGATGGAGGTGGATTTGAGTTTGTACCAACTAATAAGTTATCTATTTCGCTGTTTGCTGACTGCAATGGAGTCATCTTGGAAAGAGTATCTGAAATGGCTTCAAATAGCTCAGTAATGCCTTCTCCTGTAAGAGATGAGGTATTTCTATAGTATGGGATTTGGTGAGAGAATGCAAACTCGTTGATTTCTTCATTTTTAATCTGACGCTTATCTTCTAAGTCGCATTTGTTAGCAGCAAGGACAAAGGCGCAGTCAGAACGTCCACCTTCACGAACTGCCTTGACCCAATCATCAGCTTCTGAAAGAGAGTCTTTATTAGTGATATCAACAACAATAATTGCGACGCGAGCATCTCTGTAATACATAGGAGCGAGAGAACGATACTTTTCTGAGCCAGCTGTATCCCAAATATCTAACTGTATTTGATGGCCAGCGTAATTTACAACTTTGCTGTTAAAAGCAGCGCCAACTGTGCTGCCGACAGTGCCACTGAATACATTCTTGCAGTATCTAAGAACTATGCTTGTTTTGCCGCAGCCTTGTGATCCAATGAGAACAACTTTCTCAGATCTAATACTTCTTGGATTCATTAGTGTCACTTTTTGGATATCTGAAATGGTTGTTTTCTTCGTCGTTTTCATTTTACATGATTTTTATGTTTGTTTCGAAACGAATAAAATTTATGAATTATTTGCAAATTTCCACTTTTTGTCAATTTTTTCCCAAAAAAATGTGCTTTATTTGATTACCCAAATCATATTTCTATTATCTTCAAGTATATACATAACATTTAACATTATGATTCTAGTATGTTCTACCTTTCATGCTGCGAAAATATGTATCTATTTCGAAGATTTGATACATTTCAAAAAGAAAAGTAAAAATTGATATCAAAGCTTCTGTGAATTAAAAAAATCGATGTGTAAAGCTTTGGGTATTATGTTTTTTATGAATTTTTGTTGATTTGAAAATCCCAATTTGAAATTATTTTGAAGTTAATTGTTAAAACTATAAATCATTTGAATATAAAATGGAAAGAAACTGTGAATTTCATAGGTATAATGGCATCTTAACATAGATATTTCGATTTATAAATTCAAGAAGTGAAGATTGACAAAATAGAAGTTGAAACAATCAACCTATTGGGAATGAGAAAAAGAAATATGGCTATGGGTAGTTAAAAAAAATATGAAATTAAAAAATAAAAACGGCGGTGGGGTGTTTACAAAAAAGCACCCATAGGTTCAAACAATATGAATTTCTTATAATTCAAATGAGAACCTGAGGTCTTGATAAATTTCTGGCATTTCGGAATCCAAAGTTGGAAGAGAATAAATGTCATGAACATCAATTAATGATGGGGATATATCATCCAGTTCTACATTAAATGAAAGAGAACTGTCAGTTGGCGAAAGTGGCTCAGATGGCAGAGATGTAAGATTTGTTACTGGTGTTAGTATTTCCACCTTCTGAATCTCTGTCTTTGCTTCTGTTGGTTTCTGTGGTAATTGTTTTGATTTGTTTTGAGTTTGGGCATTTTCACCAGCAGCAACTCTACGTTTTAATGCCGAATTCCAGCGGTTCTTAACTGCATTATCTGTTCTTCCTGGAAGGAATTCAGCAATCTTAGCCCACTTGTTTCCAAGCTCTTTTTGGTGTTTTATGATGGTCTCATCTTCTTCCGGAGTCCAGGACGTCTTAATAAGGTTTGGATCAAGGCTATTATGCCATCTCTCACGGCATTGCTTGCCAATTCTTCCTGGAATTGTTTCAGCAAGCTTAGTCCAACTTGTTGGTCCGTGAACTTTGACCCATTCAATGACTTTTTCATCTTCTTCGCGTGTCCAACTTCCATTAACAATACTGGTAGATGTAACGTTCTCAAGTCCTGTAAGTTTGGAAAGATCATTAAGAATTGATTCATCAGAAACCTTTAACGTTTTGATACTTAAGCAGATGCTTAGGGAGCGTGCACGGGTTGGTGCATGTGGCTCTTGAAAAATATGAGTGTTAGTTGGATTTGAATACATTCTTTTGTAATGATAATTGAATGAGTTCTTAAGAGATCACTTCACAAAATCGGTGTAAAGGAAATACGTTAAGAAAAAATTGATTCAATATTATCTCATGTTAAGAACCATACTGGAAAAATGCGAACGTGAGGTGGTTGTAAGCGCTTTGCATTGAAAAAATTCAATCAAAAATGATGATTGAAAAATCACTTAAATTTTGAAATTAATCAAATGATTGTAAATCAATCAATATTTATTTTGGATTGAGCGGATAACACACTCAAATTGTAAGATGATTAAATGTTGAATTCCGCACCAACGAAGTATACCACTCCTATCTGATTAAAAATATTAACGTAAACACAAAAAATTCAAGCATCCGATTGATCGATTTCCCATCTCTTTATAGGAAATTGGAACTTAATCAATATTCTCATGATTTTCAGTACAGTATACATTGTGCGTCGCCTGTAGCCTACAGCTACAGGCATCGGCACAATGAAAAAGTGACACTATCTGTTTTTCTTTGAGGACGATCTTTGTGATCACGATCTTTGTGATCTGTATATATGAGTGTGAGACTATATATGAGTGTGAGACTATATATGAGTGTGAGACTATATATGTGAGTATAAAAAAAGAGTTATAGTAGTAAAATTAGGTGTTTATTCGTGGTTTAGAGGAGGGATCAGAAGTCAGTGGCTAAGTTCCTTATGGCGCGCTTTAATTCATGGTCGGATGTGTCAGCCTTAAGGAACCTTTCATGCCAGCTGTCTGACTCATGTCCCACACGGTTGAGACGAGATCGAAGATCGCAGATCTCGTTGGCATAAGAGTCAACTTTATACTCAAGCTGGCTGATGTAGAGCTCTTTACCTTTCGCTTCCTCTACTTTTTCAGCCAGCTTGAGCTTTAGTTCCTCGAGAGCTACGTTTGACTCCTCCAGCTGCTTCAAATACTTGTGGCTGGTCTTGATTAAACGTAGCTCTCGAGGAGTAGCTCGTGGACCCGTTTTCTTTGCCGTTTGCTTGTGATCGAGATCTGGGATCTTGATCTCGGTCTTCGGACTCTCGCCACCCATCAATATTTCCTCGTCGCCAGAGGACTGTTCTTCAGTCACCTCTGGCTTCTGGATGGCAAGAGCCTTAGCAGGAGCTGTGTTGTTCGCTTCCATTAAAAAATGTAAACTTTACGTGTCAAAAAAATTTTGACACGTAAACTATTTATGTTGAGATTGAGTACCAGCCATTAATATAAGTTCAACCATTATATTAGAGTCTTTAGGAATTTCATATGGTTCTTTTACATAATATTCCTTTTTTTGACCATCAGTTGATTCTTCAACTCTTTTGAATGAAAAGCGCTTATAAAACTCAAACACGAGTGCATCTTTATAACCAGTGATATCGTAAAATTTTGGTGGCACAAGCTGTTCATTCACATTACATATAAATTGTTTGTTATCATGAGCAATATTACTCAACGTTACTAAAGGCTCAAGGAGAGGATTTATTCTTATCTGATAACCGACAAATTTATATGTTGGTTTGCCCTTTCGCTCAAGGATAAACCTGATATTCGCTATAGTTATGAAAAGCTCATCAAAGTACTTATATGTTTTTTTATCTTTATCATTTTCGTCAGTGAAATCTGCTATGGTAAAACTATAATATACATGCATTCGCGAGATATATTTTTTTTCCCATAAGTCTAAAAATTTTGCTTTCGATGGAATTACTTTTTGCGTGAATGTTCTACCATGGTCATCTTCCCAAACAAGCTCTGGTTTTCTTGATGTTGTGTCTGTTTCAGTGGTTTCTAATAATGCAGTGATGAAATCCAACACATCTCCTAGGGACATGTCATATTTATAATTCAAGGCATTTTTTATATACTACTGTATGAAGGTAATGTTATGATTGGTGATGTACCTTTTCTTAATACATTCAATTTATTTTCATTTGAATCATAGTAACAATCAACAAATTCTCTACTTGCCTCAGTCATTTTTTCCATAAGACCTTCATTCAACTCCTGTGTAGTCATGTTGGGTTTTATGTAATATCTCATGTCAAACCTTTTTTCACTGATTTTGATGAATCTGTCATTTCTAATGGAATAGCAAGAAACTTAAAGTCTGGATGCTCAAGACTTATCTTTCTTATCTCAAGAGCTTTTGACGCAGGATATTCAATGAAGTCTCTCGGTAATTTATATGAGACTGTATTACCACTTATCGTGCCATCATTCATAACATGTTCATAGTATAATCCATCATATTTAGACATTTTATATGTAACTAAAAGATGGAGAAAGTTATTAATCAAGTAGATAAGATTCTTCATGATGGAGCACGTAAGAATAGTAAAGAACTAAACAATGCACTCATTATGCCATTTTCTGATGATTATCCATTTTGTACTAATGGTGTTTATTTCTACTGCGGTAAGATGGGTTCAGGTAAGACATATGGTGTTATTCGTCATATAATGATAACAGACCGCTTCACTAATACTCCATATTATGACTCAATAGTTATCTCAGCAACATCAGGAACAATGGATAAAACAGCGAAGACATTTATGAGTCAAGTTAAAGCACCAGTACTGAAAAAGGATGATAAAGAACTTATGCCTTATTTAATGAAGAACGTTAAGATGAAAGCAAAGTATTACGCTATTGTTGAGTTCGTTCAAAGTAAGTTCGAAAAAATTTCAGAGGAGATGGAACACATCTTAACAAAGCATCAACTAAGGAAACCTGATGGAAAGTTTGAGTATAAGAAGATTGCAATATATGTTGTAAAGAAGTTGAACAAATATCCTTTCACAAAGTATCCCAGTAATTCTCTATTAGTGTTAGACGATTATGGTGGTCATGACTTATTGAATGACCCACGTTCACCATTAGCGAACTTCATCACTAAGGTCAGACATTATAACTATACTGTTGTCATCATGTGTCAAACATGGAGACATATATGTTTAAACATTAAGAGACTATGCACTGACTTCGTTATCTTTCAAGGTTATTCTATGAGAGACTTTCAGTCAATGATTGAACAGTCAGGAGCAACAGAAGATTGGGAAGAGTTATGGAACAAATACAAAGAGCTACCAACACCTCGTTCATATATGGAAGTTCATATAGTTGCAGGAAAGACGGACTTTAAAGAAGTTAAGCAACAAAAGATGACATTATTTTAAGAAGAAATAAATGGGTTTTGGCGATTATGTTAAAGCTGGATGGGGTATGGTGAAAAAAAATCCTGGTCTTGTAATAGGTGCTGGATTTAACATTGCTAACAAACTTTTCCCTCAAGTTGGTCAAGTCGGTGGTGTTATCGGTAGTCTTGGTGAAAGAATTGCAAAAACTACATTAGGTGAAGATAATGCATTAACGAAGAATCTTAAAGCATTCAATAAAGCTCTTGGTGGTGACTTCAGTAGAGACAAGCCTGTTGAAACACCTATAGTTCAACCTCAACAAACTATTGACAACAATAAGTATAACGCATACATTGGAGGAGCTATTTGGAACAATCATAAGCCATTAGTTCAGTCAGTACGTGTACTATCAGACATGCCATGGATTAATGCTATTAGTGGCACTATACGCAGATAATATATTTTTATGAGGTTTAAATGAGTGAACAAGAGAGGAAACTCATTGATGAACGAGTTAAGAAATGGGAGAATGAACGTCCGATAATTCGTACCATAATTAGCGATCAAAAGTTCAAGCAGCATACATTTGATTTTTTGCGCGATATATATAATGATCTTGCTTTTGATTACAATGCTAGGCAATACTTTGAGAAAGAATATGTTCAAAAAGGTCGTATTAATTTCCCAATGAGAAGAGAAGGCTTTTTGATTACATCAACATATACACCACGTGGTAGAGACCCTTTTACAGACGCGGTTCGTAACTTTAAAGTACGTTCTTCTATTAATGATGATCCAGATTTCTACATACCTTATATTCGTCCACCTTCACATCCTTTACGAACCAGTGATCCCGGATATGACGCTAAGCGAATATATATAGAGACGAGATTAGCTAAATACAAGGAACCTAAGGATCCAAAGACTGGTAAAATAAAGGAATCACATGTCAAGATAAATAAGCTTTACAAAGTAGTTGAAGAATTGGAGAAACGATCTAATGAGATTAACGCTGAGAAGAAAAAGGAAGTACCAAATATGAACAAACTAGATAAGATGATTAAGGAATATAGAGGATTGGCGAATACATCGAGTGTTCTAATAAAGGAAGTAGAAAACACGACAAAGCTGCAGAAAATGATTCATGATGAATTACTGTTAGGTGAATTTTCTATAAAACAAAGAGAGAGTAACTTAATGGGTGAGGCTTATTATTTGGAGAATTGGTATAATGAGAGGTTAAAACAAATGTCGACTCCAACACCAACTCCTACACCTACTCCTACAGTAGCTCCAACACCAACTCCAACACCAACTCCTACACCTACTCCTACAGTAGCTCCAACACCAACTCCTACACCTACTCCTACAGTAGCTCCAACACCAACTCCTACACCTACTCCTACAGTAGCTCCAACACCAACTCCTACACCTACTCCTACAGTAGCTCCAACACCAACTCCCACTCCTGAACCAACAGTTGCTCCAACACCAACTCCTACAGTTGCTCCTACTCCTGAACCAACAGTAGCTCCAACGCCAACTCCTACAGTAGCTCCAACGCCAACACTGACACCAACTGCTCACGCAGGTCCTCCACCATTGTCGAGTAGTCATGGTATAACATTAAATAAACCAACACCTACACCAAAAATAACTCCTGTATCACATCCTAGTACAACTAACCCAGTATCTGATTCAAATCAAGCGGAAAGATCACAGGTTCTTAAAAGAGCTAATACACAAACTGCTTCGCCTATTAGAACACCAGAGCCAACTCCAAGAATCACAAAGGCACCAACACCTTTACCGACTGTTGAACCAACTCCAGAACCTACAGTAGCTCCGACACCAGAGCCAACACCAACAGTACCTCCAACTCCATCACCGACACCTACAAAAGCACCTACTCCATCTCCAACTCCGACTAAAGCTCCGACACCGTCTCCAACTCCAGCTGAACCAACTGATGCAGAATCTATTCAAAATTGGTTAGACGAAGAAAAGCGAAAAGAAAAGGCTGCAATTGATGTTGCACTAGATAAAAACACACCACCACAGACACTTGGTGGTTACATGTTAAAGAAAGACAACATTCAAAGACAAGAACGTGCATTGAGTGTTGCCAGAGAACAAGCACAAGAAGAGAAGAAAATAGTTGAAGGAGAAGCTTCAAATAGAGGTGGTCCAGGAACTTACCAAGGATCAAACTATCCAGCAGAGAAAGCCTCGAGTGATAATGTTGTCTCAAGAGCTACTGATTTAGTTATCCATGGTATTCTAACTGGTGCAACAACTGTTGGTAGTGCTATTGGAACCGGTGTTAACACTGTTGTTGATACTGTAAGAACTGTTACAAATCCTACACCTGAAGATAGGAAGGAAGAATTTCTTACTCTTAATACAAAGGCAAAACCAGGGATATGGATTGGTCGTGGAATTTTAAATGCTGGTAGTGCTATTGGCAATGGTGCTTCAGCGGTAGGGGGATGGCTCGGAAGAACAGCAACATCAACCGCAAATGGAATACTAACAGGTGCCAAATCACTTGGTAATTGAGCTGATGATAAGTATACAAAATATTATGAAGAAAAAGCTCGTAAGGCTAAGGAAGAAGCTGAACGAAAGGCGAAAGAAGAAGCTGAACGTAAAGAACTAGAGGAGCTTAAGAAGAAAGAAAAAGCTCGTAAGGCTAAGGAAGAAGCTGAACGAAAGGCGAAAGCAGCAGCAACACCATCTCCATCGCCATCTCCATCTCCTTCACCATCACCATCTCCATCGCCATCTCCTTCACCAACACCATCAATAGCGGTTCCTGTGAGACGATTTGGTGCATGGGGTGCTGATTTAGTCAAAGATGCTGCACAAGGAATTGGAAAGGAACTGAAGAACGCAACATTAGGTACAATAGAGCGTTTTGGTAATCTTACGGATTACACAATTAGATCAGCTGATAATCTTTTATATAACCAGACTACTGATAACGGTACTTATGAATTGGCTGTAAACGGACTAGCATCAATTAAGAAATCAGTAGAAGATAAATACGATGAATGGAAAAAGAACATTAAGGGTGAATATAATAAGTATGCATATCCTGAAGAACATATGAAGTTAGAGCTTACCAGACTAAGAGCAAAATATGGTAATGAAACAACAAATACTACAACGCAAACGACGAAAGCTGACAGAAAGATTGATGACACTCCTACTCCAACTCCAACTCCATCTCCAAAGAAAGAAACTCCAACACCAACTCCTGCATTGGCGAACATCACAACAATTGCTCCAAGAGTTCCAACAGGAGAAGGTATATCAGGAAATGTTTCAACTACTCATAACATTACTGGAGCAGCTAATGTTTCAGCAGTTGAGCAACCTGTTGTTAATGTAACTCAGGAAAACGCTACTGAAACATCAACACCAAGACAGGATGTAAAGAATGAACGTCCAGAAGTTAAGGAGGTTGCAAAAGCATACCTGGAGAAAAATACTACACAAGTTCTTGAAGCAGAAAAGCATCTCAATTCAGACAAAACTCCAACACCAACTCCTGAAGCAACTCCAACACCATCTCCAACTCCTGAAGCATCAGTTCCTCCAGCAATTGGTGGAAATATACCTTCAGTACCATGGCAGAAATTTTATGGATTGTTTAAAGGAGCGAATAAGGTAATGGATGCTGCTGAGAATCTCCAAAAGTTCAAGAATGAAGTCGCAACTGGTGCAAAGGAAATAGAAGAGAATGATAAACAAGCTGCTGAATTAGCTAAACAACAAGCTGAAGCAACTAAACAAGCAGCAGCTCCTAAACAATCTATATCTAAGTCTCAAAGACAAGGTCCTGACCCAAGTGCTAAAGTCAAACAGAATCCAACACCACCTGCAGCAGAGAAGTCCAAGAAGGACAAACAAGAGAAGGATAAATCAAAAGAAGGAAGGACAAGAAGAAAGATAAGGATAAGAAAAAATCGTCAAAAGATAAAAAACATAAAAATTTATCCAGTAAGAAATGAGTCAAGTCATTAAAGCATCAACTAAACAAAAGTGGTTAACTGAATATATAAAAGATGGTAAGGTTCCTGATGGATATTATGTACATACAATGAAAGACGGACGTGTACAGTTCCGTAAAGTCAAGCAACCTCTCAATGATGAACAGATCAGAAGGAAGATCTCATTGTATGAAACAAAAATAAAGGACTTACAAGCTAAACTCGAAACCCACGATACTTCTCAAGAAAACTAGGCATATCTTTAACATGACCTTCATTAATATTTTTCCTCCAATACTGTACTTCCATTTGTGACAACCTGTTTGGATTACCTTCACGCATACCTCTACCTGTCACTTTTCCTGTATTTTCGTTCTCAAACGTAACATCATACTTTACATCATTACCGACAAGTTCATGACCATCAATACTTTTAACAGCACCGTGTCTTCCTTGATCTAAAGTTTCTCCTTGCTTTAATCCATGCTCTATTTTTGTCCATATCTGATAACGTGGATATCTTGCAACACTTCCATCTTTTGCTCTTAACAAGTATGCACTTGTATCAACTGAATCAACTGTATAATAAGAAGGATCAAGATGTCTTCTTTGTTGGTTACCTTTACCCCATGTTCTTGGTTCAACTATGACTTGAACTTTTTGACCAGGTCTTAAGTTATAAAGGTTATTTTTTCTGACATACTCTTCTTTCAATCTTTGCTTCTTTATATATTCCTCATTATCCTTTTCTGTGAAATCATCAGGCTTTTGTTGTGTGCTTGAATGATATTCAGTGTTGTAGTCATTAATAATTTGTCTCATTGTATCTGCAGTGAAAGGTGGTGTTTTATCACCTTCTTTGAGGTTTAACTTCATATGTAACATAGTTCTAATAGTTCTACAGAACCTATTAATAATACCTAGTATGTTATGATTGTATTTCTGTGTCGTCATGTGCTCAATGTTATGACTGACCAACAGATCTCGAACATTTTGTGTCGTATAAGCTGGGTCTTCATCACTAGTAAGTATTGTAGGCTTCATTTCACCTGTAGCTTGTGAAATGAACTTCTGCATTGCACTTAGAACATTGTTTGAGTTCTTTTCACTCATTGGGAACGCATAACCTTTTCTACTGTTTACATTGATGAACAAAAGAAAATATGGTGGTGTTCCACCAGGATTCTCAAATGTATCGAATTGATAAGCTCCCATATCAGTTGAATATATTGGTAGCATCAAATCCTCTTGTATTAAAGTTTTTTCTTGTTTACCAACAGTCATTTTTTTATTAACGTTAAAGTCTTACAGGCATTGAGTAATCGCTATAACCATCATGGTCTGCGAATTCATGTAATCTTGATGCATCAGGTTCTTTCTTCGTTGGTGCATGAAACCTTGCTTCATCATAAAGGTTCATATAATGGTTTGTCACGTTTGGGGTAGACCCAATTTTTGCATATTGAGGATATGAGTAATGATACACTAAGTTGAACCCATTACTACCATCATCAACATATATCTTTGGTGGAGGTTGTCTTATTAAATTCCTTCCTCTTGGGGCTTTGAGTTGGACGATCTGATCTAGATCATTGTAAACAACTCCTGTTGCAGTATATTCTGTGTTGTTCTCTGGGTTAATGTTCGTCATTTATATGAGAATAAAACAATTTTTACTCATAACAAATGAGATCGAAGTCAATTCTTTATGGTGCAGCTAATCTTCCAATTGAACCAACAAGCAATGTTGATTCAAGAACAACTAATAACATTGTGATAAAGAACTATCCATCTGGTACAGTAAGTGATGCTCCAACAGAGATAAAAAAAGAGGAAACAACTACGAACTCAGAAGCACCAATGTATCCTCCTCCTTTAAGTCCATTAACTTCCAACCTGACCTCATCGAGATCTGTGGAGACTTCATCGAGGATTGGTGTAGAAGAGTATTTACTTAGTATATACCAGAAGATACTTCTAGACCAAGACAAAGAGCTCTTTTCTAACTTAGTGAGCAAAGATCAGATCTTACTACCTAAGCCAGACTTGGAAGAAGTTGTTCACAGAATGACTGGGTTCAAGTGTGAAATAGACCTACTGGACCCAGACATCACATGTTGTGGTATTCCACCACCTTTCTCAAAAATAGCTCAGATCAGAATCATTGATGAGAACAATATTGCTCAAGAGTTTAAGTATGCATATAATGCTCAATATACTGAGTTAATAAGTAGGTATAATTTATGTCTTAAGTATGTTATTGTTTAACCAAAAAATTTTTTATCTAATGTTAAATATGGTTGTTCAAACAAGAACAAAAGCACAAATGTTTCAAGACTTACTCAATAAATTTGAAGCAATGAATAAAACTTATTGTTTACTCAAGTAATTATTTTAGAACGTTTCGACGTACTCCTTGATCTTATCAAGAGCTTCGAGCATCCGCTTCTTTGCATTGTGCTTGGCGAAGATGGCTTGCTCAATGGTGAACTCGAAGGCTTCTTTACCGATCGGCTGGTGATCGCGAAGATCTTTGAGTGCATCAAGAGCTGCAGCGTACTCTGATGGTAAATGGGTGCCATCAATGAGTGTATAAAGGATGAGCAGGTACTCCTGTAGTAAGTTCTCCTGTTTCAAGCGGGACTTGAACTCTTCGCGGAGAACTTGAAGCTTTTCGAGCTTCTCAGTTGCTTGAAGGTATTCAATGATGACCTTCTCTTGTTCCTCAAGTGCTTGTGGGAGGAAGTGGACATAAGCTGTTGACTTCATCAAAAATGAAGTGGTCATGTCACTTTTAAGTTAATGTCCGAGCCATACAGTGATGTCGAAGCAGCACATGAACCAAAGAAGAAGTCTTGCTGGGAAAAGACAAAGATTGTTGGTAACGCAATCCTAGCCATTTGTGTTGTTTTGAACTTGATCGTACTTCTGATCTTGTTCTACAAACTCAACAGAGGTTATTGTCTCAAGTAAACACTTATTTTTATTACCATATAAATGATTTTTACCAAACCTCCTTTACCTTTCATAGGTAATAAGTCTAAGATCAGGAAAGATCTTATCGACATACTCAAAGACATCAAAGGGGATTATGTCTTCGTTGACCTATTTGGTGGTTCTCTCTATATCTCTCATCTGTTGCATATTATGTTCCCAAAAGCAACGATCATAGCTAACGACTATGATAACTACGTTGATAGACTGAAACACATTCATGACACGAATGAAATACTTAAGGAACTTAAGGAGAGAATAAATGTTAAGCCAGATGAGAAAATTCCTACTGATCAGAAAGAGATCGTCAGAGAAGTTATAAGTAAAGCTCCATACATAGACTGGGATACATTATGTTCACGTCTTCTCTATTCTGGAGCATACAAATACTATGATCTTGACACATTAATGAAGAAAGTGTTATACCTCAGATATACTAACTTATTTGGTGAAAACATAGATGACTATCTTGAAGGTTTAACTATTGTTCATAAAGATTGGAGAATACTCTTCAATGAGTATAAAGATCTTCCCAATGTTTTCTTTATATGTGATCCTCCATACTTCCATACTTATTCTATACAGTATGGAGATGAATGGACTCTTAAAGATACTGTAGAAACCTTTGATGTCCTTAATTATCCATCTATTTACTTCAGTAGTGATAAATCTTATACAGAAGAACTTATAGAGATATTGACAAAAAGATATGGAGAGAAATTTTCTATGAGAAAGCATGTTATAGATAGAGGTTTAATTAATCCTAACACTCAGAAAAAATGAAGTAATATATGTCACTTTTTCTGTTAATGGAGAAGAGAAAGATCAAGAAGATAATAGTTGATGAGGGAACTGAAGAAGCGACGACATTCATCTTTGACGACGGACACATTCGTGATAAAAATGGACAACACTTACACAAAAGAAAGAGACCAAGAAAATTTTTAGATCTCCCAAAAGCTAGGAAACCAAAGGAACCATTTCCAGTACCAGACGTCCAAGAACCAGAGAGACTTTTGATACCAAAACCTGTGGTTGACAAATATGATCCAGATCAGTTCTTCCCAAAAATACCAAAGTTAGAATAAAAACTCCTTTATTTCTTTAGTATTATATAATAAGTCTATTAGTAAGCTCTGTTCTCGTTCTGTTCTGGTATTTTGACGTCTTTTCATGGTCTCGCATAATAAGATCATGAACTTTTTCTTGAGATACTCGAAGAGCTGAGGTAAGTTATCATATTCTGGATATGTAGGAAGCATCCCTGCTATCGTAAGTGTTGTATCAATAAGGATTGGACTTATATCGGAAAAGTCGAGATCTGGAGTAGAATAAGAAGGTAAGTCTCTTACATGTAGGTAGTCATTATATGCTTTACGCATGAGACTGAGTTTCTGGAGCACAACTATGAGACTTTGGTTCTGACGTTCAAGTTTGCTTAAAGTTCTCTCCAAGCTTCTGTAATAAACGTCAACCTCTTTAAGTGTTGATATTTTTGCATTGATCTCGGAGATCTTTTCTTGAACTTCACCAAGTTTGACCTCAACTGACGTTTGAGCTCCCATCATGTTTTCATCAAGGTCATTCTCTATGTCATCAATGATATCTTCCCATGAGTCTGTTTTCATCATTGATCTTAACGTGAACACTCATGAAAAAAATTCAAAAAGTGACATTTGTAAATGAATGTGTTTACTCTTGAGCTTCTTCTTTCTCAACCTGCTGGTCTGTAGGGTTTAATGTGCCATCACGTTCGACCAGAAGGTTCTGCTCGGGTCTGTCAAGGAGCTGTCTGTAGGTCGTGAAGGTTTCAACGAGTCCTTGGTAAGGAGTTTGGAGATCAACATCGACCCATGGGTGTTTGCGTAAGAAAGCAGCAAGGCTTTCACGCTTGGAGTCAATGACATCTTTCTTATTGGTTAATCCTTCTTCAAAGCTAAGGATTACTCCTGCAGTTGCTTCAAGTCTTTGGATCTGGCGTCTGGAAACCTTGGTGAGTTGTCTTCTCTTCTCGTTTCCAAATACATGCAGGAGATATGCAGAAACTACTTCATTAAGTTCGATTAAACAAATTGGATGAAGATCAGTCATGGCTTTTGTAAAGCTGTCTTTTGTAAAGCAATCTTTTGTAAAGCAAGCTTTTGTCAAGACGTCTTTTGTAAAGCAAGCTTTTGTAAAGCAATCTTTTGTAAAGCAATCTTTTGTAAAGCAAGCTTTTGTCAAGCAAAAGTATTCAATTTTGTGAGAAAATGCTATTGTAAAGCAAGCTTTTGTCAAGACGTCTTTTGTAAAGCAATCTTTTGTAAAGACATAACCGACGACCAAATGACCCAAGACGGTACAACACCAGCTCCAGCATCACCAACACCAGATATGATGGCAATGATGATGCAGATGATGCAACAGCAAATGCAGCTTATACAGCAAATGCAGGAAAAGAAAACTTTCAACAAACCTGCAAAGAACTCACAAGATCTTGAAGCTGGACTCAATGCTCTCAGGAATGACTACAAGAGAGAGCAGATGACGTTTAGGAAGAAGGGTGATGAAGATTATGATAATGATCCGATCGAGGAAGACGAGATCAAGTCCACTGCATCCACAAAGACCCTCCAGGATGAAAGAGATGATGAGGGATTCCTTACCAAGTCTCAAAGACTCTTTGTCCTTGAGTTCTTCACGCTCTCTGCCTTGAGATCTATGAGGAATTGGAAAGGTCGTGTTCCAATGGGCTCCAACAAGCGTGAAATACTCATGAGTGCAGTACCACTCATTAAGACAAAAGTCCAACTCATGGACTTTATCCTTTCCGCTTATCCCGACGAGATCTAAGATCTGATCAAAGTAAAAACATACATTTATGAGCTAAGCTCAGTAATAATTAGTTGTTTATTCTTTCTTCTCATACTTCTGTGCAAGGTTTCCACGGAAGAACTCAAGCAACATTTGGATCTTTCCAAGCTTTCGACCTTCTTTTTCGAGGTCATCCTGGTAAGCATGGAATGCGTCAACGTGTGAGATCGCATTCCATGCAGCAACAACAACCTCTTCTGCATCTTCTTTGCTGGCAAGTGGCATGAACTCGAATCCTTCCATTGGACCAAATAAAAGTGACAAAAATGTCAATGAGACCCACTCGTTGCATAAATGACAAACCTGGTCCGGAGATGCAAATGTTCTTCTTAACACTCATGTCTGACCATAGGGAGTACGGTCATGAAGAGGTCATACAGATCTTCGATCAGTGTGTACCAAAACCTGAGAATCCAGACGAACTCTTCATGAAAATTTACTTGCTTCAATGGAGAGATGAGAGAACAGATATGAAACTCAGACCAATACCAATCTTTCTAGGTTTCTGCAATTACCTAGAACAAGCATACCAGATTAAAGGGTCTGACACCATCTTCCTCCAAAAATAAACTTTATCGTTTATAATGCATCAGGATCTACATCTATTTCTTCTGCTTCATCCTCAATGTTGATCTCTTCGACGGGTTTGATAGCAGCTTTGAGTAAGTTCTTACCCATTGTCTTAAGTTCAACTGGGTTATATTCTTTGTCTTTACTCTTTGTTGATTTCGTGAGATCTACATATAAACAATAACTTTTAGTCTTGTCGGGGTTTATTCTCGCTGAGAAATGGTCAGGAATGTTTATAGCTATCTTTTCAAACTTAAGTAAATTAGCTAAACCTTCATTTGTGTATTTCTGCTTATCGACAAAGATCATGATCGGACTTGCACTATAACCATACTTTCCTTGACGTAATGTTTGTGGTAAGCATATAAGTAGTCTCTTTGCTGTTTTATTTTGCTTCTTCACTTCATCTACTAACTGTTGGATCTTAAAGAACTTCAAATGATGTTCAGACATCTTTATATACCTGATAAAAAGTTCAGATAAAAAATAATTAGCTATATTTTTATTAGTGCATAAATGAGTCTTTCTTTGAGATTTTCTGATGAAGATCTAACTTTGGTAAGATCTTTAAAAGATGATGAAAACATTCTTTCTGTCATTGATGAAGAAAAGAAATACTTCAGTAATGATGTAAAAATAGAGCTACTCATTCATACTGAGAAACAGTTTGTGATCGTGATCTTGAGTTAAGCAGCTCTGAACCATGCGAATACAGTCATAAATGGTGGCATATAATCTGCACCCGAGCCTGTTGGATTTGTTGTGAAAGTGTGTGAATGATTTCCTGTGGTTCCACAGAAAATACCTGCGCTTGAATCTACTGGGTCACTTGAAATATCATATCTATTCATTCCCTGTCTATCCGAACCTGCTGCAAGATTTGTATAACCTCTTTTTGTTATTGAATGTGAATGACTACCTGTTGTGTTTGTAGTTCCTGTATGAGTGTGCGGTGGAAGGTTTGCTTCTTTAATTTTCTTTGAACCACCGGCTTGTTTTGAATATCTAGCACAGTATAAGAATTTGTCTACAATCTGCTTCCATTCACCAAAACCTAAAACACTTGCTGGATTTGTTGAGTTCATTGACGTATAAATAGAACCAACAGGATATATGGTTTCAAGAATCTGAGTCTTTAATGTTTGAAGCTCTGTTTTATATGCTTTCTTATCTAACATTGTTGGTAGTTCATATGCTTCAAAGTTTCTGGCATGATCTTCAATGTTCATACATCTGTTATCTAAATTGTTTAGTGTATCTTTTACGCTTGTACTTGGATTCTCTAAAGGTGCACTTGAACCAAGGGTATAGTTCAATATTATGTCGTCTGCTCTAACAGTTGAGAAGGATTTATGTGTATGTTCTTTATCTGCTTTCTTATCTAACATTGCTGGTAGTTCATGTGTTTCAAAGTTTCTGGCATGACCTTCAATGTTCATACATTTACTATTTAAGGAGTTTAGTGTATCTTTTACGCTTGTACTTGGATTCTCTAAAGGTGCACTTGAACCAAGGGTATAGTTCAATATTATGTCATCAGCTCTTATTTTCTTGATTTGAACTGGTTGGTCATTATCAGCTCCTATTTTATTGATTATAACAGGTTTGTCTTCTCTTGAACGAATTGATTTAACTGTCAAAGGTTCAGTGAACTCATTATTTTTCAAAGGAATCAATGTTGTATTGATGTTTTCACTATTAATATATACTTCTTTTGCATCAATACCAGATGGGAATGAAACTCTTTCATTAACTTTAACTGTTGTACCATCACCTGGGTACATATCTTTCTCTGGACCTTTGATTGTCTTAAGTATGACAGACTGTGGTAAAGTATATTCTTTAGATGTAACTTTACGTATCTCTTCGTCAACATAACTTTTGTCAGCTTTGTTTGCAATCTCAAGTGCAGTTCTTCCTCCATTATTTTTGTTCTCCTCAACTTTCTTCGCTAATTCAGCAAGCGAACAAAAGATGTAATCTATCCCTTGAAACTCTTTATCTAAAGTAATACTATTAGTACTGATTGAATCATTTACACTCTTGATGAATTCTACAAATGATGGATATAATTCACGAAGTTTAACAATAACAGTTGGAACATTAAGGTCAACTTGATCTTCTTTCTTATCATCTGCATCTCTTGGTATTGCACGTAACCAAGCAGTACCTAATTGCCAATACATTCTCGCGTTATGTATGGTAAAACCTACAGCAGATTTTGCGTTTGTCAATACAGTAGTAACAAGATTTTTGAAACCTAGAACAAAACCACCTTTACCACCAGGTATTAACTCTAAAGCTGCAGTGACTGTTTGAATACCATCTCTTGCACCAATAAAAGTCCATAATGCATCAATTTGACCTTGTAATGATATCCATGAGGCTGCAGTAGCTCCGGCGTTTGCTATGTCAAAGATGAATGATAAAGGATTGAATTTAAGACCAGATTCTTTATCTTTGACAACTTCAACGAAGTCATTGATATTTTTCTTCAAGTATTCCTTAGTGAGAATAACACCATCACCAGCAATACCAGTAGCTTTAGTCTTTCCTTCAGCATCAAATGTGATTGGTTTCTTCAATAAAATAACTTCTGGTGTTGTACTGATACTATCATTAGTGGAGAAAAATTCTCCGACATGACTTGCTAAGTATTCTTTCGTCAATAATGTTCCATCACCAACAATACCAGTTGCTTTTGGACCATCTTCTGTGAATGTCAATGGTTTCTTTAACATAACTTTATCTAAGTATATTGCAATACCACTATTTTGTACTTGTTCATGACCTAATATATAAGCAAATGCTGCGTTTAAAGCATTATACAATGTATCTTCTTTAAATGTTAAATGACTGTTTTCAATCATTGGTATATTGAACAGTGTAGACCTTGGGTCAAAATGAACTCCATGGTCAATCGATAATAACCGTTTGACATGATATATTATAGTCTCTAATGCTTCATTAATATTTACCTCACGAGTTTCTTGCAAACCATTACTCGCCATACATGAAAACATATAGTCCTTATCAGTTCTGAAGAATGGAGCATCTAAATAATTATTCTCAACTCTTGTCACACGATTCTGCAACTCTTGAAGGTATTGACTTATGTCTGTTTCAACAATTGTACCATCTGGTTGCTCGATAGGTAATATACCTGGACCAATGGTAATGTCTTCATCATCAGCACCTTCTTTATGTATGACTAAAGCGTTATCAGTAATTCTCAGAGAATATTCTTTATATTGAAGTACGCTAGACTTATAACATTCATATGCATATGGAACAACACTCATTCTTTTACTACATATAAAAATGATGTATTATCTACAATCGACTGATCCTAATAACTACGGGACAATACAGTTTCAAGCAGATCCTAACATGGGACATCCAAGTAAGATAAAGATGAGAGTAAAAAGTGTCAGTACTATGGCGAACTTTATTGTTTGTGACGAAACAGATTATTTTGTCTTACAGTTAGACGAAGATGGAGAAGAAAAGGTGTGTACATTTAAGTCAGCTCTTTCATTTGATATGGATACAATTGTATCAAAACTACAAGCGATTGTAACAAAACAGTTTGATTATTATAACAAGAAAAAAGGTCAACATAATGTAACAGTTTCACTCAGTACTACGAATCAAATAAAATTTACGTCACAGGACGTAGGACATAAAGTCTATTTAAAAGATGCTTCACATAGAGCAAAGCTTATTTTAGGTGCATATGGAATAGAACTACCTATTGTACATAATTATTATCTACAAATGCCAAAACCACCTATGCTCAACTTCGGGTATCAGTTATATCTTCGTTCATCAATGTCTGTCATCTCTGGGTTCAATAATATTGACCAAGTTGATGATCGAAGAAAGATCATGTACAGATCTACATGTTATAACATCAATGAGTTCTGGATACCTGGTAAACCTCTTATATGTAAGGAATCCTCACCATGGATAGATGCATTTCCTTGGGAACTAACTAATGTTACGTTTACTTTAGTTGACTTCCAAGATCAGCCTGTACGATTATTGTCACCAATGTTTATGGTGATAGAGATTAAACCAGATAAGCCAGAAGTTAGAGAAACCAATGATATTAGTGATGATGATACAGAATCTTCGTACGATTATGATTACGATGACGATTAAAAAAAATAACGTATATTTTTTATCGGTTATAAAAGACCAACATGCTCAATGCTATAAAAGGATTAGTTAATAACCTTTCACCAGAAGATAAGAAAGGTATGCTTGATATGTTTGGGATCAAAATGTCTAAGAAAGCTAAAGACATTACCAATAAATTAGCTCTGGCAATTAAGAATCAAGGAGGTACAGGAAGTGCAGCAGATATTTTCAAGAATGCTAAGAGCTTCTATGATGACTACAATGGTGTCATGAGTGTTCCAGCTTCAAATTCCCCAGTTGCTTTAGATCACGATCAGAGATCTCATAATAGAGCGTTAATGGAGATGCAACCAATATACTCAGACCCTCCACCAAAGATGTTAGTTAACAGAAGATATGAAACAAGGTATGCAATTAACTCAAAGTTAGTTACACCACTTGCAAAAGTCATTGAACTCTTGTTTGCTAACAATTATTTCGAACCAATTAGAACAGGAGAACTTTGCACATACTTCACAACAATGTATAATGAGAACCTTGAAGAAATGATTGACCTCACATACAATGAGCGTTATTGCGCAAGGGTGAAGAAAGATTGGAGTTCAGAGACGAAGAAAGACATGAAGTTCCCAAGAGAACATGTTTTCTTTGCTGACTTCGAAGCATCAACTGATGGAAACATTCACAAGGCATACAACATTTGTTTCATGGAAGATGACGATGATGGTTATACATCAATTTGGGGAAGTGACTGTGCGTCAAAATTCCTCGAAGCTTTACCAGATAAGAGTTTAGTTTATTTCCACAACTTATCGTACGATGTCACTTTTCTCATGTCTCAGTTAGAAGAGATTACAGGAACTCCAATCATCAAAGGTTCACAGACGATGCAGATACAAGGAAAGTACAAAGGAAAACTTCTCTGCTTCAAAGACTCTTATGCAATCATCTCAACTAAGTTGAAAAGATTCCCTGAAATGTTTCACCTCACTAGTGGTGAAAAAGAAGTTTTCCCATATAATTACTACACGGAAGAGTTGGTTAATACAACTAAAGTTGGTAACATCGATGATGCCATGAATCATGTCAAAGATATTGAAGCTTTTAATGAGAACATTGAGAAGATTGAAGATTGCAAGATTGATGATGAACACTTTGACATGGAAGTTTATTCGTCATTCTATTGCGGTCAAGATGTACGCATTTTACGAGATGGCTTTCTTAAGTTCCGCAATGACCTCATGACTGAGTTTGAAATAGATGCTTATGATTATGTTTCAATAAGTTCTATCTCAAACAAACTCTTTGAGAAGAGAGTATATTGGAAGAACGGTAATCTCTTTGATCTTGCAGGAAAACCTCGTGAATATATTTCCAAGTGTATTCAAGGAGGAAGATGCATGTTAGCTGAGAACAAGAAGCAATACAATGAAGGAGAACTCATCACTGACTTCGATGCTGTATCATTGTATCCATCAGCAATTGCTAGACTTTACTGTTTAGAAGGAATTCCAAAAGTTATGACAGAAGAGATGAAGAGCAGTGAATACTTGTTGGAGCATCTCTTTGATGATGACCAAGCTGAACCAACAAAGGAAAAGTTCATCTCAGGATTTTACTGTCAGATCGAGATCTTGTCGATCGGTAAGAACTCAGCATTCCCATTGATTGTCGTCAATCCTGACATCAACCCTGACTTACATGTTGCCAGAAGTTCCAATACATGCTGCAAGATGTTCGTAGACCACATTACGCTTCAAGATCTGATCAAGTTCCAAGAGATCTCATGCAAAGTCATTGATGGATACTATTATGATGGAAAAAGGGACATGACAATAAGGAATGAAGTTAAGAAGCTCTTCGAATTACGTGCTAAGTATAAGAAGGAAGGTAATCCGATACAAGAGATCATCAAACTTCTTTTGAACAGTATCTATGGTAAGACGATATTAAAGCCCATTGACAAAAAGATTCGTTTCATCAAGGACAATAAGCTCACTGACTATATCATTAAGAACTATAATGACATACAGACAATAGAGTTCATCCCCGATTCCGAACTTTCATGTGTAAAGTCATTTAAACCTATCGTTCGTCACTTTAACTATTGTCCATTAGGTGTTTCAATCCTTTCTATGTCCAAACGAATCATGAATGAAGTATTCTTCACAGCAGAAGATTTGGGCTTGAAGTTGTTCTATCAGGATACAGATAGTTTACACTTGTATGAGAAGGACTTAGATAAGTTAGCAGAAGAATACAAGAGAAGGTATAACAGAGAACTCATTGGAAAAGCACTGGGTCAATTTCATTCAGACTTTGCAGAGATTACTGCAGGACATATGTCTAAGGCACAAAGATCTATATTCGTTGGAAAGAAGACTTACCTCGACGAATTAACCAATGACCTCAAGGAAATTGCTTTCCACTGTCGAATGAAGGGAATCACACAGGACGTAATTGCACTTACTGCAAACCAAATGTTCCCAGATGCGATACAAGTACATTATGACGAGAAGAAAGGTTTGTTCTTCCCTGAGAAAGTTGGGGAAAAATATAGCATCGTGGAATTGTACAAATCTCTTTATGAAGGTGATGAGATAACCTTTGACTTGTGCATTGGTTCGAAACCATGCTTCAACAAAAATAAGGACTTCACTATTTCAACGAAGTCATCTTTTGAACGTAAGTTAAAGTTCTAAACACTTACTTATTATTTTTCTTAGCTTCTTCCTCTTCTCTCAATTTCTTTGCAATCATTCGTGGATTCTTTGCGCGTCCAGCTGCTAATGCAGCTAATTGTTTCTCTGTGAGTTTACGCTTTGGTTTAGCTGGTTTCTCTTCTTGTGTTTGTTCTTTGGTTTTGAGTTCATTAAGTATTTCTTCACGAAGTTCATTCTTGAGTGCTTCTCTGTCGAAAGTATTCTCAGTCATTTTGTTAGGAGTAAAAAATTTTATTAGGATAGAAATGACGTCAAAACTTTCACCAAGTGAAAAGCAATCAATCATATTGAATGAAGCTAAAGGAATACAACATCCATTATATTATGTTTGTCATATGAAGAATGGTTCAGTTCAAGTTAGAAAGAGAAAGGCACCATTGAATTCACCAGCTCCTGCCCCAGCTCCTGTTGTTCAAGAAGCTCCTAAAGTTGATGAGAAGAAAGAAGAAGAACAAGCATATACTAATAAAATGTTGTTAGAGATGATGACAAAGATATTAGAACGTAACAGTGTAGTTAATGAACCAAACATGGACCCAATTGAACGTGAGAAGGAAACTAAAGAGAATCAAGAATATGTTCAATCAATGGAAGAGAAAAGAATACACTTCGATGATGAACCAGAGCCTGAACCAGAACCTCCTAAACCTCAGCCACAAATAAGACGAATAATCCCAAGAATAAGAAGATTGTAAATTTTTTATAGCTGAGAAAGATGTTGAACGATAACCTCAATACATACAGTATTGCTGATTCCATCAGACAAGTAAGATATTATTTCGATCAAGTTGATGGGGCAGTTCCTATTGGAGATACTAACCATAGATATGTCCCAACAAAAGTGCCAGCTATGCCGACAAATACTATTGATAACGGTTATATTACATTTAACATATCACCACCTGGTGAGAACATGATTGACTTATATAATACGTTCATTAGTGGTTATGTCGATGGTGAGTGCATAATTACAACAGAAACTGAACCAGCTGATGAAAAAGTTCCTAAATATGATGGTGAAGTATATAAAGAAAGAGCTGTTGAGACAGCTCCTACACAGGATCAAATGTTACAGCAATTAAAGCAATTGATACTAAATATGCTGGTGGCAAATCATGTGCACATCTTCCAGCAATTTGGTTGGGATACATTGATTCATTCTATGCTGTTGAATCATATCAATTAATCGCTAATGGTAAAAGTGTTTATACACAAGATAATGCTAGAGAAGAAGGTTACATTACTTCTACTGCATCTACAACAGAAGCTATTAAGAAAGTTGATGTATTTAGTAAGGCTAGACATAAAGATGTTTTCAATAGATGTGATACAGTTCGTTCTGGACAGATTATTGAGTTCAATAAACCAATTAGTGGTGCAACTACATTAAAGTTCCACATACCAATCAAGATTGACCTAAGAAGATTCCTAATACTTAATAACATTAGATTCCTTCCAGCGTTTGCTGGTAACTTACAACTTAAGGTTAAGTTCAGTATTGCTGGTATGGTTTGGACACCATTAAGTTATCAGGATATTCTACCATTACCGAACATGCAAGCCAATGTTACAAGCTATATTCCAATCACTAATCACTTCACTCCTATCTATGAAGGTATCAAAGTTATTGATACTGTAACTTGGAATGCCGATAAGAGTACGATATCATTTGGTACCAAGTTTATTAAGTTCACTAAGAAGAATGCAAACTTCTTTGAAATGATTACATACTGTAACTCATTCTCTTTGGACCCTAACATCTATAGTGATTTGGTGACAAGATATTCGGCAAAGACTCTAAACTTCCCAATCAAAAGAATTGACTGCATTACTATGGATGGTTCAATGGCTAAAGGTGAAGGAACTCCTTGTACATTCACGGCAGCATTTACTCCATTATATGTGAACACCATTTATACACTATTTAAGAAAACACCTAATTATAACACTACCTATGAAAATCCACTGTTTGAACAAATTCAACTGAACTGCGGTGCATATGGTAACATACCTGCTGAGGCTCAAGCATCTAATGATCCAATCTTCTATGAGATGCAGGCAAATGCTACTAACAATAATAACGATACTGTTGGCTTCAACTATGATGTCATGAGGTCTATCACAACCACATCAGTCCCCCAATTTGGAATCGAGTCAAATGACTTAGGTCATTACCTATGTGGATTCCCTTGCGAAACTGATTATACATTCCAACAGGGTCAGTTATCTAACTCACCTATTACATATAAGCTTACAGTTAAGCCAACAGCAGAGTCTATTAACTATACTGAGAAACCAGTGTTATGCTTCTTACGTCACGTTTGCCTCTCCATACAGATTAAACCGGTGGGACCACCTATCGTACTTCTCGACGATTATGATTTATCAGCCCCTGCTAGTGAATAAAGGTTAGTTTACATATGAACGTTTATTTTTACACATATATGCGTACATATGCGCGCCCGTATAGTGTCACTTTTCTGTCACTTTTTCATTGTGCCGGTGCCTGTAGCTGTAGGCTACAGGCGACGCACAATGTATACTGTACTATTTTCATCTTAAATAAAAACGGATAATATAGAAATGCAAATATCTTTAACAAACTCTTGAATTAATCAAAAGATCTGAAGATATTAGTGACTTATTGTGATAATAACCCTTGTAGTTTGTTTTAATCATTAAAGATTCTTTATTCCAAATATTCCATAACATTTTTACTCTAAATATCTATGATTTGTCATAGAATGTAGCAACATAGTACGAATAATTTGAAAAAAGAAATAATATATGGTAGATCCTCTGAGAGAATTAACATTTCCAGTATATTTCGAACTAATTTCAGATTCTTTGGATAGTCTTAGGCGAAAATTCAGGTCAAGGCTTTAACAATATTGCATGAAATAAGAAATGTATCGTTCCTGGGTTCAAAATTTGAGTAAAATCATATTGATTTCAAAAGGATGTTTTATATTCAAAAAAAGATGCATATGAATATAGTATGGGAGAAGTAATAGTTTGTCACTATTACAATGATGCAAAAGCAAACTTTGACGATTCAAGATCCAATATTAAACTTATTTCTTTGTTACACAATCAATTAGATGATAGTGAAGAAAGTTAAAGCATTCGTCGCTTAAATAGTTATCTTTTGAGACTTTCGAAAATGGCAATATTTTTTGATGGTTAGTGGTATGCAACAGTCACTGGCCAGATAATAATTTATGTGTCATATATTGTATAAGAGATATATACTTTTATTGTAAACTTCCCTAATAAAAGTTTTTGTTTTTTATCATCTTTGAAATCATACTGCATTTGACATAGTCGTTATGAGTACCACATTTTGTCGAAATTATAGATGTAAACAAAATAATGCTTGTAAGAAAACATCTGATCATTAAGTAAACTAGCTTAAAAGCATTATGAAAGTTTTATATATTGGCAGGTGGTAATGATATGTAATACTTTGATGTTATTACAATGTTTCAGAGAATGAAAAAAATATCGAGATTGAGTTAAGGCTTGTAAGTTCATGAATCCCATTATTTCTTGTTATTTATATGATTGTTCATTCGAAATGTTCAGTAAACTGCGTTTTTTTATTGAAACAAAATTAAATAGTACAAATTTCATATTATATTAGGGTTATTTTGATTGTTTTGTACAAGATCCTTCTATGTTAATCAGTATTTGAACCAAATTTTGTAAATTGAAATGAAAAATGGTCAAAAGGTGATTTATTGGACATTTTTTAATAGGTTTAGAAATGATATGAATAGCAAATCACTAAATTTCATAAATTAGAAAAACTAACGATGTGAAATTCATGGCATAAAAAAAGCCAAACGATATTGTAAAAATTGAGAGATCTAATCGTAGACGCTACACTGAAAATAATTTTGTATGTTTATGTTTAACCGATTATTATAACATTAAACTCCGAGTTTTCAGAAAATTATAAAAATTTACTTCAAAAATATAGAATCAAGAATCTATCCACATCGTTACAATCAATGCAACAATTTAAAAATAATTTTCAAGGTGTATTTTCAATAGCTTCTAAATTGAGATAAAATGTGTTCGCTAGAGAAATGGTTTTCTTCTCAATTATCAACACCTTGGATAAATGTACTAATTATATGTATATAATGATTATTTTAGGTAAAAATGGAAAATTTAGAATTGAATATCGTGCACGAAAATTGACCAACTATCAAATTGAAAAAATTTCAAAATAGATAAAAATAGTATCAAATACTATGCATAAATCTTTAAAAATCAAATTTGAGAAAACTCATAGAAATATCTTTTCTTTGAACATTATTTTTTAGAAAATTACTTCTTTCAATATTCTATACTAATATTGCACAAAATGTTCACATTGAATTTTTCAGATTATTGTCAATTAATTGAATTGCCAAACTATTCTTCGACTATTCATGTCGCTCGAGGGTATGACGAACCAACCAGGTCCAATCAATGATAAGACAGTCCTCCATATGGACTCCAGAAACGGTAGTGAGATCAAGAGAAAGAGATTTGGCCACGAAACCCAGAACTTTAGTTTCAATGAAGGTTACTTTGCCAAAATTGCTGATAAGCAAGAAGTAATCATGTATGATTTGTTTTACAATAAATGCAAAGGTATAGTAAAGCCATACTTGCTTCCAAAATGCTTGGGAACAGGTTATTTTAATGAGGGTAACACAGCCTTGAAGTCTGGCGATCCAATTGAAGTAATGTTTACTTCAAAGATGACATCCGAGCCTCGTGATGGTCATCCAGCCATGATTTTCCAGGCAGATTTAACTCATGGTTATGAGAAGCCATGCTTAGTTGATTTCAAGATCGGTTTAAGATCATGGAGAGTCGGCTCTTCACAAAAGAAGTCAACAAGAAGGCGCAATAAATTATATACTGAGCCAACAAGAACTCTGAAGTATCATATCAGAGCAGCTATGTGGTATGGCTCCAGTGATGAGAAGTTCTATCAACACGATGAGCTTTGCTACGTTGAGAGAAATTTCGGTTTCTTCTGCACAAAAGAAGAACTTGATGTTTTCATGCATGAGTTCTTCAAATACCCACAGCAGATCCCAACCTACAGAAAGAAACTTGAGGAACTTGCAACTGCATTCCAAAAGTTCCATGACACAATTGGTCTTCGTATTTACAGTGGTTCTGTTGTCGTTGTATACGATGCAGCTCACCCTGAAAAGTTTGACCTCAGATTCCTTGACTTTGCTAAAGGCTTCTATCATATCGAGGAAATCGCCAAGAAATTCGGTGAACCATTAGATGCCTGCGAAGATTACGTCGTAGAAGGCCTTCGCAATCTCTCAAATGAACTCGGAAAACTTTTAGAACAGTAAGAATACTATCATAAATTTGTTTTTGTAACTATCCTATCGATGTTATAAAATTTAATGTCTAAAAATGTTTATTTATTAACTAAAAAGAAAGTATTATCATATAAAAATGAAAAATGAATTTTTAAATTTCAAATTTTGCTATAAATAATGTAATATGAAGAATTATGTCAGTCTATATTCTACATGTATATTGGTGAATTTAAAAATATTTTATAATTGCAAAAACAATATTTTATTTTTAATGAATATACTTATTTCATCCATGTTAATATATTATATTAGTAAAAATAGAATATGGTATCTATTTAATTTTTAAAAATAACCCATCCTTTCTTTCAAATTTTAAAGACAAAATAAAAAATGAATTATTTGTTCATAACAAATATGAACACATTTTCCAATATATAATTATCATTTCGTTTAATTTACCTATTTAAAAAGGGGCTAGAAGCTTTATACAATAAAAATTTATCTTAATCCAATCAAGATTCAACATTTCAATAAAAAACTTCGTTCAAAATCCTTCATAATTGCAATAATATCATACATTCCTTATCCAAAAGAAATTATATTCAACTACACTGAACAAACAGAGTTAATTGACTCGATATTTCAATTTTCAGGAAATATCTTAATTCACTAAACTTAATAAGAGCAAACTGTATACATAAAATGACCAAAATTTAGGAATCTAGTACAGAAAATACAAAACAAGTTTCAATTCCTCATGATAAAAAAATATTTTGGTTTGAAAAATATTAGTAAGAATATAATTACAAAAATAATTTACAGTTTAGCTTTACTTTATAGTTTTGATTAATCGAACTTTTGTATTTGTTGAATAAAATCTGTTCGGAATGTTTGGTCAAAAGGACTGTCCAAAAGAGCATCTGCAAACTTTTTGAGGCTTTCTTTGTTTTCTTTCGTAAAGTTGATGACTTTTTGAGGAGCTTTATCGTAATCAATGAATAACTTATAGATTTTCAAAGATTCGATAGCTATATTTTTGTATTGAGATGTAAAATGATGCAAAATGAGGTCGAAGTTATTTTCATTTGCTAAATAATTAACTTTGAAGTGCTGATTCTTTTCAATTAGTTCTCGAGTTAGTTTCAAGCTTTGGAGGCATGATGCATAGTTAATATCCTCAAGGAAATGATTCAACTTATCAACAATAAATTCAAAATTATTTTTGATATATTCTTGTGAACATTGGGAAGATATAATCAACTCCTTGTAAAAAGAAAATGAGTCTGCAGCAACATCGAAGTGTGGAACTGTAAAATACTTAACAAGTTGTTCGATATTTTTCCGACTCAAAATTTGCTTACAAAGAGGTTCATATGATGAACAAACTCTAAGCATTTCACCAGTTGTTATTGCAAGCTCAGGATGGTCATAGCAGTGAATTAGAGTGTCAATAATTTCTGGATCTTCAACAATGTATTTAATCATTGGCGAATCACCATTATTTTTGTAAGCTACTGATCCGGTGAATATCATTGCATATTGCTTTCTTTGTTCGACTGGAAGATTTTGCAAATTTAATAAACCTTCGATGACAAAGTTAGTAGCAGTAATATCATTAATAAGTTGCAAGGCTCTGGTGTTGATTTCTTCATCTTCAATCTTCTTATAAAGTATGTCAGTCATCCTTCCAAAATTTTTATTGATGATTTCTAAATATTTTGCCTTTTGCTCAAGTTGAGTTGCTTCTCTATATCCAGAAAGACCATTTAATGCCTTTTTAATGATTCGAGAAGGCTTCATTTTCCCAAACAATGACATTGTTTTTTTGAATTTATGTCAATCGAAATAAAAAAAAGTCTTTTCGTAAATAAGATTATCTTTAATATCACGTGGAATCCAAAACAATACTCTTTCTCATCTATTTAATAATAGGATGCATGATTACATTTCAATTTTGCTTTGAAAGGATGATTGTTGGTCAATAGAATGGCTCTCTAGTGATTGTACAACAAAAGTATACACCATCTATATGCATCTCCTACTAGAAAAATTCGATTACATCTCATGTTTTAGTGAGAACATTTGATATCTAAGCTTTGACATACATTCTATTCAATTCAATGAAGGAAGGAATCATATTACATCGAAGCCAATTAATATTTCCATATATTTCTTTCCTATGTGTAATTTGATCCATCCATATTATATCAGACTTGTTTCACCGTTCTGAACATACTTACATGAAAATTATGGATTTTATTGACACATTTGATAATTAGCACCAAAAATTCTTATCCTCTTCAGCCATTTTTTTTGTTGTGATTTCCCAATATGATTTACATGCAAAAATATAAAGACAGGGTGATATCAAATAGAATTTCAAAGCCTTTCTGGTTCATGATTGGAATAATTTTTTATATTTTTTATTGCTAAGCTTCCAAACCTATTTTCCTAGTACTATGAGTTGGACTGCCTATCATATATTAGTGAGCTAAAAAATATGAAAGGTTTTGAATAAAAAAAGTTTATTTATTTCGAAATAAATAAATAAAGGGCGGTCCTCATGGGACAATATCCACATCAGGACCATTAGTCTGGGTAGCATAAACGATTGAGTCATCCTTTGTCTGATAATCGACGGTTCTTCCCATCATTTTTTCATCAGCAACAGCTCCTGGAGCTGGGATTTCCTCTTCTGTTTCTGCTGATCCAGTGTCAGATCCGATATCGTTCTTATAATCATGATTCTTTCGGATGACGAAGAAGTAGACAACAACAATGATAACTACAATAACAACTATTACAACAATGACAATAGCGACTATTGCTCCTGAACCAAGTCCACCCTTTTCTGCTTTTCTTTCATCTACATTTGCTGGCTGGCCGCTGCTTGAAGAGATTTGAGTGGGTTCTTGTGTTGGTTTTTCTGGTTCTTGTGTCGGATTTTCTGGTTCTTGTGTTGGTTTTTCTGGTTCTTGTGTTGGTTTTTCTGGTGCTGGTGTTGGTTTTTCTGGTGCTGGTGTTGGTTTTTCTGGTTCTTGTGTTGGTTTTTCTGGTGCTGGTGTTGGTTTTTCTGGTTCTTGTGTCGGATTTTCTGGTTCTTGTGTTGGTTTTTCTGGTGCTGGTGTTGGTTTTTCTGGTTCTTGTGTTGGTTTTTCTGGTTCTTGTGTTGGTTTTTCTGGTGCTGGAGTTTCATTTGGATCAGCTTCTTGAACATTATGGAATTCTGGGTTGCAGACAAGGTGAGAAAGTGTTGCGTGACCAGAAGGAACACCTTTCTTACTGTAACCAAAGAGATGAGCAGAAATATTAATATCATAGTTTGTGAAACTGAATGCATCCATTGTAACTGTGGAGTTAAAGTAGTAGATAACAGACATGTTTGCATATTCTTGCTTGACGTGGTCAAACGATATATGTTTCAGCGAACCAGTGCAATATTCTAATTCAACTGCAACAGCATATGCAGATCCATTAACAACGTTGATGTACGATACATCTAAATCGCAATGGCCTGCGTAAAATGCAAAGCAATAAGAGCAAGCACAGTTGGATATATTAGAATCAGTGAAATGGAAAGTAGTTGATTCAATTCTAAGAGGTCTTTGGTTTGCATCAACAATTTCGCCTGGACATTTATCAAGAGTAACAGACTTGATGGTTGTGTGAGAGGTTTCAATGCTGTCCGCGTATACAAACTGTCCCCACTTGAACGTTTCGTCCCCGCTCTGACCTGTACGACAGTTTTCGGCAGTGGTGGTATTAATTTCAAAGGTTTGATATTTTTGTGCCCTAATGGCTCCACCCGATCTGTCAGCATTGCAGTTGAGAAAACGGCATGCAATTATGAATAGTGCACCATTGCCATTATTGTAGTTGTAGTAGATAGCAGAACCTTGGTTACTTGATGTGCTGAGATTCTGGAAAATACAATTTTCCAGGGTATAGGTTTGTTTATCGAGCAATACAGTTCGCGTCTTTGGCGTTAATTCCGTCATTATGGAATGTGATTTTGAATTTTTATCTACCGAAGATTGAATACTATTGAATTAACACAATTCTTTCATATCAAGCTTATAACTAGAATGTTATATATTACTATAAATTATAAGAGTTAATCTGACATATTGAATTTATTCTGAGAGTATAAACTTTAAAATATATTCTAATAAATAGAAATTATAAAAATGAAGTCAATTAATTTTGACACAATTGACATAGTTTTGAGAACTGATCGATTTATTCATTCAAAAATATCAAATCTTCTTATCTAAAAATTCATCTCTAATATAAAATGCTAGTATATTTTCATTTTAAGAAATAACGTCCATTAATTTCTGTTAGTTTATGAGAAAAAACTGCGTAAAAAGTAAAATAGATTTTTGTGACGATGTTTAATAAATTTATTCAAAAATCATCGGCTATAAAAAACAATAACTTCGAAAATGTTCCAATACTGGGGATCTTAGCAATATCAATTTTTCGTGAACAACATTTTTGAATGTTTTTTTTTTTGATGCCTGAAATAGAAATAAGGAATCGTTTATGAAACTTAAATCCATACTTTATTGACTTTTTAACACTTAAATATAACAAGGAACCAAAAAACACCTTTATAACTCAACCCCATTTTAAATTGAAAAAAGGTGACCAAACTATTTTTTGAAAGTCCGCCATAACTTTAATGGTACTATTTCAGCGTGTACAATGAATACAAAAATTCTAAGAGTGCCACATAAAATAGTACTTTAGACTTGAGTTAATGCTACCAAGCAAATGTTAAAAAGATGACTTTAGTGTTTTGATAATCAAAGATTAAAATCATTATTGTCTAAATCAATAATCATAACGACAGAAGTTAATGTTTTTTCATCAGTGCTTTAAATCCACTTTTAAAAGTATACCTCAAAAATCAAAATATCAAAAAAAATTGGCCGATAGGTTTGGCTTTAATTTTTGTCTGCTTTTATGATTTGATATGGATGTTATAATTTTAAAAGTTGAGCCAAATTCACCAATAGATTTTTGAGATTTGCAAATACTCAATAATTTTCAGCGTGTTATCTTTTATTAAAAGAACTATTTGGTTTCAGTATCATATAAATTGATATTTACTTTCTATTTGAACCTTCATTTAGCTAATGATTTAATAATACAGATTTCATCTAGTCCTTATAAGAGAATTTTGAATTTGTTATAATAAAAAAACAAACAGATATAGCTTACACTTCTATAATAAAGATACCTTTTATAGAAATCAGTATGAAATGTGTTTTGGCTTATTGGAAGCATATCAGACATAATCGCCATAATCAAAAAATCTATATACCCAATAAGTAATAAATTTGTCGATATAGATTTTCCATAAAATTAGTTTTTAGTCTGATCTTAAAATAAATTTAATTTTTTATAAAAAAAATCACATTTAAAAGTACCTTTTTAGTAGCTCGAAATCCTGTTGGTGGATTTGGGGCGTACTTCAAAATTAGCTTTTCTTCTACATATGCAAGCTATATTTTAAATATGGAGCAAATCGGATCGGCGAAAGGAGTTTAGTTACCTTTAATTGAAATTCAATTTTTTGTTTTCATACGATAAGACAAATAATCTGTAAATAGAAATTGTTTAATTAATCATTAATTTACTTATGTTGGCGAAGTACTTGAGATGCGCAATGTGCACCACCATACATCGCTGTAATCTCGTGGAAATCGAGATAATGAACTTCACCATCGAAGCCACGTTGTTTGAGAGCTTTTTCGACCTCTGGATTGATAGCAAAAACGATGTCTTTGCCATTCTTGTTCTTTCCGAGGTGAAGAAGGTTAATGAAGTAGTCTTCCTGCTGCTTGAATGAAGCTGGAACTACTTCGAAACCTTCTTTCTTCAACCATTTTCCGAATGGAAGCTGAGAAACTTCTTTGTAGCTGTTGACACCATCTCTGACGAATTCACGAGCAATACGTATGTATTTCGGATCATCTTCGGCAATCTTGTCAACGCAGACGCATAGTTTTTCTGATGCGACGTTGAAATATGTGTCAAGGTGCATTCTCTGTTGGTTCTTATCGTAGAGGTCTTCGACAACAATGAATCTCTTCGTACCGAGTAAGTCTTGATTCATAAGTTGCTTAGCAGCAGTCATATTTGTTCTTAATCCAACACCAAGCATGCAGTAATCCTCTGAAATCGGGATGAAGTCGCCGCCTTCGAGTGTGCCTGGTCCATTGATCTGGCCGACTGGTTCGATTCCGAGCTCTGCCCAGACAACTTTCATCAACTTGTTTTCATCACGTCTCTGCTGTGCTCCGAAGCGTCCGATGACAACACCTTTAGCTGTTGTTATCTGTTGATCACGTGTGAAAACTGTATTTGCCAAAGGCAAAAGTGGCAATTTATCGTAGTGGAAGCCTGTTGATGAATTTTTATCGACATCAATCTTAACAGATGGATGCATGAAAATCAAATCGATCAAATTATCTTTTGACAAGCGGCTCAAAGAGTAGCTAATGTAATCTTTTGTAATTTGCTTCCTCATTTGCTCTGTAGGAATGCCAGGGACAACATCAAACTGGAGATCAGTGAAATCAATGAGTGTGCTTCTCAGTTTTTCAACCGGCATTTCTTTCAGAATTTCACGGACGGTCCAAACCTTAGCGCCGCAGGCATCATGAAGAGCCTTCCTGAATAAGTTATGGCACTCTACAGCTTTATCTGGATCTGGTGGATTTTCATAGAGGAAAGCCGATAAATGGAAAGGAAATCTTGTTTCAACGCCTGGACAATGAGTAATGATATCTGTTGGATGGTCAAACTCTGAAATCTGGCTGAATGATTTCACCAATGGCTTCTTGAGTTGAAGGTTGGACGAAAATCTAGAGATACTTTGCAGCATTTGTTTTGGAAAAACGATGAATATAAAAAAAATTTTCTCGACGATAGGAATTTTTGGCTGAAGTAAAAATGCATATATATCATTTAATATTAAGAAAATCAAAAATCGATTACGATTTTTTCTACAATCAAATTGAGAAGAGTTTGACATTATTTCAATGATCGTTGAATTTTGTAAGAGTTGGAAATTTAATATATGATTGATTGATAATTAGTCAAAAAGAGTTAGAAAAACTAACTACAATGCAGAATTCGAATTATCCTTCGACTGAGGTTTTCCTCCCTTTCAATGAAATTGAAAGAACTTTGGAGGAATATATATATACATGTTTAATAGGGACGAATGCAAAAAGTCAATTAGCATATAATATAATGCTTATATTTAGTAAAATTAATATACATTTCAAGGCTAGATTTCGAGAAAAATTGAAATCGTGATTTTTTGAGTGGCAATAATATTCGTAACTATATATAGTATCCAAATAATATATTATTGTGTATTCTGAAGTTTACGCTTTTTTACAAGTTATCAAAAATATTTTGCAATATCTTGCATAACCCATTATTTGGTACCATTTTTAATTGAATGAAACCTAGCGGTCATTCAATTTATTGTGTCGATGATTCAAAAATTTTGAGAAAGTATTTCTGGAAATATGAGTCTTTATTATTATAAATAAAAAATAAGGCGACCCGCTCTTGAACCCTTGCCTTTAGAAAATTCTACATGACAGTCTTGTCAATTATTACATTATCAATAACCATACAATAATGAATTCACAATCATTGTACCATGTGCATTTTAAAAATTCAAAATTTAATACTATTAAAAGGTTTAGTGATATATCTTTCTGATTGTTTGAGCTTTTAAGATAGAAGATCACTATGCTACATCCAGTTATATATCAACCTTCTTGTCTTGCTGTAAATTTGGCAATAAATCGGAAATTTGCATGATAAATATTACTGATATAATGTATACTATAACAAATGCAACAAAGATTCAAAAATTTTAAAAATTCCACAGTGTTTAGTTTACATTATCATTCTTTAATGAATAAACATAATATACAAGAGTTCATTGGTTATTCTTTTTCATCGAAATAAAATGTTTCGATCATTTGGGATTTGCAAATTCATTAACATAAATTGGTAATACAAGTCATTTAATCCAACATACCTGGAAGTAAATAATCATTTCAATCATATATATTTGTTTAAGGTGTTATTAATTTTTACAATTTTTTTTTACACTCTTGTGAGCATTAATTATTAGAGAACAATATATAGGAAGTATACCCAATATCAAATAGAAGGTATTCTTCCTGGAAAAAAGAATATCGTTGATATTTTCCAAAATCTTTTTCAATTTCTTAAATTTCCTACATACATTAGGCTTCAACAATCAAGTGAAAAGATTATTTAGTTGTGGAGGTGACTCATTTTTCAAAATTTTCATAAAAACATCATAAGCATCTTCAAAATGAGAATTATACATCTCAAGGAGCTTTCTTCGCATCTTTACAACATTTTCATTACGTAAAACTTCTAATAATTTCTTGGAAAAATTTTCATTTTCAGAAACTAAAAAACCATTATCATTATTAGTAATTTCTTCTGATATACATCCGAAATGATTTGCAATAATTGGAACTCCAGCGCCAATAAAATGAAATAAAGCTTGTGGAGGATCCAAAACAAAAGAAGAAGATAATATAATACCGACATTGCATCTCTGAAGTAATTCGAAGTAATTGGGATCAGATAATGATATGTATTTATATGTAATGAATTCTGATTTATGATTTTTCAAGATTGTATCAGCAGACGTAACACTTTTCGATGTTCCAAAGATATAAAAATCAATTTTCATCTGATGTTCTTCAAGATCTTTCATAATTTTGTTCAATTTCAAAATTTCTTCTGTTTTTGAATAGGGATACATGTATCCAACAATATGATTATTCATAAATTCTACTCTGTTACTTAAATCTTTAACTCGCATTGGTATATTTCGAATTAAAAACGATTTAATTCCTCGAAAATGTAGAATCATTTGTTTTGCTTGAGTAGGAACAATATTTACATTTGAAAGCTTAAGAAGCATTGTTTCTACAGACTTAGAAACAACAAGATATCCTTCATTGGCAAGTGTGTATTGACCAAGTTCAAATATAAGTCTTATATGGAATAATTTCGTAACGATCCATGATACTATTGTCTCTTTGATAATATGGTGAAGATAAACAACGAATATATCTATTGTTGGCAGTTGGATTAAAATTCCAATTACTTGAAATAGTGTAAATATAAATGAAAATGGTAAAAATAAATATCGCATTAAAAATAAATTCATTGGAAATGGAGTTATTCGCTTGACTGATAGATTTGGTGTATTTTGTATATCTCTCGGAAATTTTGAAGACCCTAAACCAATAACATATATATGATTCTCCGGAACTTTTGATAAAACTTGAATATGTGAGATTATTTGATGGTTATTTGCATAGTCATCTAATGTAAATAAGATGCAATTCGGCATTAAATAATCTGAAAGGGGTTAATTCAACAAGGAACACTTCAAACAACTACAAAATGCAGTTGGGACATTGATAACGAATATAAATATAATGAAACAAGAAAATCATATTTGAAATTGGTAAATAAATTTGATTCGAGATATGATTTCGTATGTATAAAACAGATTTTATGAGGAAATTGTAGTAATAATGTCTTTAGTAAGAATTTTAAAGATAAGAAAAGAAAAAATTAAGGTATTAAAAAATTTTAACGCTATTATTTATTTGATTGCCACAGAACCGGTGTCTTTGTAATTGAAATAATGATTAATTATAAGGAAAAGACTGTTTAGGCGATCTGAGCAATAAGATCCTTAAGTGGAGCGAGCTGATCTTCTGGGATTAAATCGAACTCCTTTGAGAAGAGAATGAAGTGGCGGAAGGATGTGTTTAAGTGAGCCTCAGCGCCGACAGCCTTAACGTGATCGAGGTGATGGTAGTAGATGTGAGCGTAGATTCTGAAGAGACGAGCGAAGATCTTGGAAACCTGGGAGCGGAAGTCCTTTGGGAATGGAACAGATGGATCTGATGGGAAGATCTTTTCATCATCAATGATGGACTCTGCCCATTGCATGAGGTTAGAAATGTATTCTGGGGCTGGAAGTTCTGTTGGCTTCTTGAACTTCTTGCCATCCTGCCAGGCGTACTTGTATTGGGATCCTGCAGTCATTTCTGGGCATGATGTTGGTGTGCAGTGCTCAACAATTGGTGAGTAGAGGCAGTTGATTTGATTGTAGAATTCGACAACATTCATAGCAAGCCAGTCGTTAAGGTTCTCGCCTTCTGGGAGCTTAACAGCTGTCTTGAGATCGCCAGCACCTAATGTGGCCTGTGAAATTTGCTGAAGACGGTAGCTTCTAGACTCTGGGCCAACCTTCTTGTTTGGGCGGAAAGTGCCCTGGTCACGCTTCATCCAATCGAACATTTTCGAAAAGTGATAGACGATAAAAATTTATTTGAATTTTGCCCTTCGATGAGGCAGAGAAAGGGTAATTATCGATAACTTATTTTCATGTTTTTAGTTCCAAATCAAACAATAGTCACATCATTTGCCCTTTTATTCAAAATTGAATGTCAAACATGTTCATGTGAAGTGAACATTTGATTGATTGTAATGAATCAAAATGGAGCATTAATGACATTTATATGGCATGTCAGCCAGGATAATCATTAATTTCCGAGTCAACTCGAAAGATTTGTCATTGAATCAAATTTTAGAAATAGAAAAAAGCTTCCTTTCTATTGGTATGTGACAGCTGAGCTATGAAAACGTATGATGATGCGTTGTTCATGTTAGTTGAGGAATTTCATTTCAAAATTGTTGGTTTTAGCAAGTATGAACTTATATTTTTCTCCAAATTTTCATTATGATTTTCATTTATTATTAAATCATGATTCATTCTTGTAATCACATAAAATTATTTGTTTTGTTACTTATTTTTGAGAAAGATTAACATATTTATTTTTACAGCAAAACAAACAGATATAATATAAAGTAATGTCAAATAATTCTTAATATCATTTAAATTAAACTGCTCATTGTTCCAAAACTTTCGACTTCTGGGATCGATAGTGAAGCAAGACTTCCAGAACCTGCATATGCTTCAGCTGAATAAAAGTCTATTCTTTTTTGAAGAATATTTTCTTCGGAATCTCCTTCTACAGTTCCTGATTCATAAATATCTTCTTGTGGAGGAACTAAATCATCAGAATCTTCTAAATCAAGTTCACTTACAAACCTCATTTTCGATGATTGAGGTGGTGAAGAAATATAGCTATCCTTACTGTAACTATCAGAAGAGAGAACTGATTCTACGCGAGGGATGGACTTTTGGTTCTTTTTGCTTAGAACCCTCTTCGATTTCTTTTTTCCATTTGGTAAACTTTCGTATTCGTAGGAGTAAATAAACTCTTTGTCAGACTTTGGACTATAGTTAGCAGAACTCTTCCTTTTTTGTCTATTCTTTTCAGTTTTTTCAAGATCAATTCTTTGGGCATCGTTTCTAGATGTATATCCATATAATTTGTTCTCCACAAGATGTTTTGATAATGGAATAACACTTTTACGCTTTTTGTGAGTTGAGTCAGTAGAAATTACTGAAGAATCAGATTTTGGTTCGCTTATAAGTCCAAATCTACTTGAAGATGAGTTTGACTCTGATGCTATAGAAGAACGAGATGCAGATAATTCGCGAATTGGTTGGAAATAATTTCGATCAACCTCCCAGGAATTTGCTGATGACTCAGAATCCAAAGAATTGCTACTAATAGGTGGAAAATAAGCGCTACCTTCACTAGTTTCAGCTGATTTTGTTGAAGAATAATAAGAATATTCACTTTTTTCAGAATTCGTAGACTGTTTTGATGAATTTGTCTCTTGCTTGACTTCTAAATTTGTCTTTTCATATCCCTTCTCTCCAATTTTAATTGGACTTCCGTATTCATCAATATTTTCAGAAATATTTTCTTCTTCTTGGAGATTTTCCTCTTTTTCGGAGCTTGACTTATTATATTCTGGTTCAATATCGTTAATTTTTTCTTCTGTTTGAAGATTTGTCTGTTTAGAAGTTTCATTATTTGCGATGTTTGATTCAACTTCAGATTTAATAAAATTTTGCTTTTGCTTCCTACTTTTAGAGATAATTTTCTTCACTTCATTAAGTATATCTTCATGATTTGTAGTATGAATTCCTATACAACCTAAAAGATCAGAAATTCTATCAGTATAGTCATCACTTTTGTCTATTATACCTAATTGCTTTTCATACTCTTCAAACATCTGCGTTTGCCGTTGAAGTATTTCTAATTTTCGTTTTGTAAAGGGATTTTGAGTTGAATTTGTTGTTTGAATAATAATACGTTCATATCTAACACTAGAAGAAGCCTGAGAAACTTTAGAAGATACTCCTAGGATGTCAGCAATAGAATTTAATTCGGTATCACTAGGACATGGATATATGAATTCCCATCCCCTATCTAGTAGTTCTCTTACAATTTTTGGGTATTTTTGTGCTTTTATGAGAATATTTTTTGGTATTGTTTTATCATTAATTAGTCTGAGTTGATTTCCGAAAGCAACAACAAGCTGAATCATGTAATTTTCTTTACGAGAAAATGGTGTATTCTCAACATTGATGTTTGAAGCATTCTTAACGGACAAAAAATTATATAACGATGTAAATTTTGAATTTCTGAGGTTAATTTGCATAATATTAGGCTGAAGATCAAGTCCTTCAAATGATTTGACATTTGTATATGAAAGATTTAGTACTTTCAGAGTTGGGCGTTTACCAATTGAAGATAAGTCTACATTTTCTTCTCCGCTTAAGTCGAGTACTCCTTTTGATAGATAAATTTTATAATTATCTTCATTCTTACTATTTGATCTCGTTTTATAAGGTGAAGTTAAATCCATAATGATAAATATTTGCCATGTAAATCATTTTTGACAAACTGTCAATTTATAAGAGGACTTGAAACTTGATTATTCAACAAAGTTGCAGTAATGGCATCGAGAAAATATTGGTATTACAGAAGTAGTTTAGTAATGGCATATAACTAGCTATATAATTTAGTCAGCCCCTCAAAGAACGAATCCAAAATTTACTTAAACATTCCAAGAACGAAAACACTAGTTGGAACATATACAAGCATTCATTATCCATTATCTACTTCACAGAAACTTCAATTCTTAATTATATGATAATTATTATTTGAATTTAACAAAATCCACATTCTATGCAAAGAACTTTGATTAAGATAATTTAATGATTTGTGTGTCAATAACAAGTATTTATTTCTTAGAATAATCTTGAATCTATGATAATTCCAATTCTTTTTAAGAGTTCGCCTTCAATTCCGGTGTTTAAGGTTAAATCTCAATGGCTCCTCTCGCCAACTATCATTATTTTTAATTAAAGTTAAATGAGCATAAGTGCAAGCTTAATTGATTTGATTAAGGGTGCACTTACCACTTTCTGACATGCTCCCATAATATCAATATATCTTTTTTGTGATTGCAAAAAAGAATAACAGTAATATAAGGTACTAGGTAGTAATTTAAAATAACTTCTTTCCGAACAAAGTTAATGACTTTTTACCTTAGAAATTTTGAATAAAAAACTACCCAGATTTGCTTTACTTTTACCACTCCCCATGTAATTTCTGGGGAAAACGATAATTCATTTTTTTTATGGATGAATAGATCGTTTTCCTAGAAAGGACCTCATATCTCTGGCTAAAAAGAGTGTCAGATCCTAAATAGGTTATTGATCTAGTGTACAAATCCAATAAAAAGCCTATTTTTTTGGCTTTTTTGGTGCTCATTTTTTCGAAGATCTACATGAATATGGGGAAACCATCGGATTTTTTTGGTTAACCCACATCTTCATGTAGTCTGGACTATCTTTCCTCGAAGGACCTCTTTACGGGTGTAAAAACTCATAAAGTTCTCAAAAGATTCATTCTCGATCTCCATGCTGAAAGAATTTACAATAAAAAAGAGATCTACGCATCAAACTACAGCCATAAATGAACTGAACCCCTAAAGCTCAGCTCTTAGTTTATCAAAAACGTCGAAATCCTTCTCATTGCAATCAAAATTTCTCAATAACTCATAAGAAAAATCGAATTTTGATTAAGCCGATGTTATAGGTATCACAAATACTACAAACTTGAGCAATATCGAAATTGCCAGCAAAAGTTTGAAATTGCATTGCTCATATTTGTTTTGTAAACTAAAAATCTGCTTATATTATTCATTAATTTTTTATATATTATTCATATACTTTAATAAAAACAATACTATTTCACCTTAAAAATGAATTTCATAAGTCAATATTATTTTTTTGAAAATGTATCAATTTTCGATTAAAACAACATGAGAATAAAATTTACGCAAAATTATTTTAAAAAATGGTTTTAAAAATTTACAATTGATTAAGAATCAGATTGCAAGAAGTTTTGAAGTTTAATTTTAAGAAAAAAAATTCGGATATTATTCATGGATCTAAGTAATCTGATATTTGAGTATCGGCACTATGCATAAAACATATATTTATAGTTTTTTTGGATTTTTATGATTTTAAATATATTCAAATTTGGCAATCCAATAGATTTTTAAAAAATAGGTAAATAAAAATAGATTACATATGCAGCAGATTTAGAACATGAAACAAATCTTATAGTGACCCAAAAAAAAATTCATGATCCAAAAAAGAAAAAAATTGGCTAAATCGGAATCAAACCTTAGCATAACGAATCATTATGTCAGATGTTTCCACTACACTACACCGGCAGTTCGAAAAATACCCTTGGTGGTTCTATTTAATAGCTACTCCCAACGATAGGCGGTGTCCCCAGCTTTCGAGAGGTGGTAAAAGTAAAGCAAATCTGGGTAGTTTGTCAAAAAGTTATTAGTGCACCCTTAAGAGAAAATACTTATTTTCCGCATACATGTAAAGGACTGTCATAAGAAATGTTCTCTTTTGGATATTATTCATTAGTTCAAAACCTTGAAAATTTTAAAATACTAATGGTTATAAAAATAGAAACCATGCATAGAGCATAATGCACGAACTTTGTCGGTTACACCTTCATTTGATTATTGTGATAAAGGAAATAATGTTGATGTGATACGATTTTGAGTTTTTGCTTATAACTTCATTTGTAGTAAAGATATTAATGATATTGAAAAATATATTAGTAGTATAAATAGTAAGGTTTTTATCATTGTGATATAGAAGTTCTATGCTTGTCAAAGTTGTATAACACAGAGTTGAAAAGTTCGAACTCACGGAATTATCTAGTCCATGATTGTTCCATATAAGGTACTGTAGGAATGACATCAAGTCACAAAACACTAAATATTTTACAGAAAATATTTGGTACTTGTTAAAAAGTGACGAAATGCAATTACCAAAACTAAAGACAGATTACACTACCATCTCACTAGATTCTGCTTATAGTCAAATGAAAACTAATTCAATGTTTATAGATTCTATCAAAAATAGCCATATTCAAAATTTAATTAGATATATACCTAGTGTTTTGTATTGGGTTTAAATCAATAAAACGTATCTAGTACAAAACTTCAAGAGTTATACTAAAAGTTTGACAGAACAAATCTTGAATGAAAAAAAAAATTTATGAGTTTAGTAAAACAATACAAAGAGAAGTAAAGAAATGATATAAATAATGATAAACAATTTCATATTTTGTGATAAGATTCTTTTTTATTTCTAAAGTAGGAAACTCTACTCCACAGAGAAAAGTTGAAAAGTGAGAAAGATGATGAATAGAGTATATATTTTGAACATTATTTTGTGTAACCGGTCCTCTTGTTTTATCTTTTCTGTCACAGAAAGAATCATTAATTGTAATTGAACCAAAACTATCTTGATAAAATTCTTTTCCTGGTCCTGTGTTTCCAAGAAAAGAACAGTTTTCAATCAGTACAATTGATCCATATGCATAAAATGTTCCAAAATTAGGCTCTTGAAATTTATTATTCAAAACATTACAAAAATTAAAATTATAGTTGCCACTGAAGTGACGATCAATTATAGCCAAGATTGAATAAATTGATGTTGTGTTACAAAATGATGAATATGATACGTTGCATAAACCAGTTGGATTTTCTAGACGAATTCCTGAATCACGATATGTTTCACAGAAACTTGTGTTGATTGACTTAACTTCAATATTTCCATAATAAAAACTATTTATACCAATCTTTTCGGAATTTCCACATTCATAAAAAGAACTTTCATAAAGATAATTTTTATTATTTGATTTATCAACAAGTTTAGTATATGAATAATGCCCTTCATTAAAGCTTGTTTTTGATTTGTAGCCACATGTTCGGTATTGGACAATGGAACTATCACAAACAAAGTAGATAGATCCACCATTTGTATTACTGCTGCAGTTATCAAATGAACAATAAGAATCAAGAAACTTAATACCTGATCTTTCAAAAGAAATGGCACTATTAATGATGATTTTGATGAAAATGCATTGAAAGATGAAATCTTCGTTTTCTGTCGATGATTCTGTAACAACCTTTCCTGTGAAAGGTTCTGAAATAGGGTCTGTTTCATAAAAGAGTTTCCAAACCGAGTCAGCTGACTTTGGACTATGAAATACTTCTTTCTGACTTGTAAACTTCTCAATTTTCGTTATAATGTTTTATTGTAATATTTTTATTATCAAAAGCAGATTTTCTAAAGTATATGACAATAAAACATTTGCGAGATTCATCATGTTTTATTAAATCCAACGATGGCTCATGCTTTCAGGAACTTCCAAATCTCAAATTCATAATCAAACTTATATATTTCATAAAAAATTAATTCATTTACTATATCTCAAAAAAGTATAATGAAATGATACAAATAAGGATGGATTCCTTCATTGCATGTCATAACCTTTGGATTTATGGCGAAAATATGGAACTCGGTTTGCGTATGTTACATTTTTCAATATATCGAGGGTGAGCTTTACTTGCAGCATGTCTGATATCATCATATAGAACAGCTTCTGTTGATTTACCTTTGAGGATGTTCTACCTGTATCAAAAATTACTCGACTCTAAATGGGTTAGATTTTGTGTTTCATTATACATAAATGATCTAACCCATCGAGTAATTTTTGATGGTTGTTCAACATTTGATGCGCTAATTGCGCCTTTATTATTAAAATAATAAAGAAAAATTCTTTTTTATCAGTATTTATGAGTTTGGTAAAACAATACAAAATGAAGAAATGAAATGATATAAATAATGATAAACAATTTCATCATATGTGTTAATATTCTCCATTTTGCATAAAAAAGTAGGAAACTCTGCTTGACAGAGATATGTCGAAAAATGAGAAAGATTATTAATACAATATATATTTTGAACGTTTTTTAGTGTAACTGCTCCTATTGTTTTATCTATTCTGTCACAGAAAGAATTTTTAACTGTAATATAGCCCGAATATTCTTGATAAAATTCGACTCCTGGTCCTGTGTTTCCAAGAAATGAACAGTTATCAATAAGAACAGTTGATCCACCTCCATAGAATGTTCCATAACTAGATTCTTTGTGTTCATTATTCAAAACATTACAAAATTGAAAATTATAGTTAACATTATTTAAGCCTATAATTGAATAAATTGAAGTTGTGTTACAAAATGATGAATATGTTATGTTACCAAGACTTGTTGGACTGTTTAGACGAATTCCTGAGTCAGCACTTGCTTTACAAAAACTTGTGTTAATTGACTTAATTTCAATCTTCCCAAAATATAGACTATTTGTTCTATATTTTTCTATATTTCCGCATTCATAAAAAGAGCTCTCATAAATACAATTTTTATTATATGAATTTTCAATTAATTCAACATATGAATAATGCCCATCAGAGTTTGTT